ACATGTTCCATGTAGGAACGCGTTAGGTATGCAAGCTGTCAGGCGGGGTACATGTATTTTCGTTGAATGTTCGTGTCGATGGATGGACTACTACTTTATCGTGTAGATGAATCTGGAGAGGCTGACACCGGCAGATAGCTGTGTACATAATTAGTACCTCGACAATGGCAAGCCGGAGGTGCTGCTGCTGCAGAGGAAATCGACGACCTACATCATTGAATGAACGCTCACAATGACCAACAAAGAAATAGGTACAGGCGCATCACTTTTGCGGACGTCAACACATGCATATCCGATCCATTTTCTACGGTATAGTCTATCTATGCATATAACATTTCGTTCAAGAACATGTGGTATGCAGTAGTGGTCTTCTTGCCAGATTCCGGCGTAAGTTTTCAAGTACATGGATACACAGTCGAACCGAAAAGAAGCAACCTCTGAGATGCATGATGTTGGTATTGGAGGTGGCATTGCTATGTAGGAAGCAACAGCTAGCCACGCACACACACACGCGGTAAGCCAACAGCACCAAAGCCCAGAGTGAGTCCAATCATGGTCAAGAAATGAATAGCTTGAACCAGCCCAGCAAAACTACTAGGCCAGGTTAGCCCTTCTCGGTGATCTAGGTGGTAAAGTAACCGGTTGGTGCATTATCTTTTCAGAGGTGGTGGCCAAGGTTGCGGTGTAGGTTGGCACCAATTACAACCTGTGGAACGTTGGGGTGGGAGGGAGGCGCGTGAAATCGTTTTTAGTTGTTTTTATACTATGCTAGCCCGCCCTGTTGGTTAGATATGCTAACATCCGCATCGGTGGGGCTAGCTGGACACGGTTGTAATTTCGTGGTACCTCAACCTGGTGCCTCTGGCTACCTGTGTAGCGTCTAGAGGTAGGAATGATTTTGAAGTTTTGGTGAGGAGGTTTAACAACATTCTGTACCTATTTAGACTTTGGTTACGAAACGTATACATGAGGGAAGCAAGGGCTAAACCAATCTCGCTGACCATAAAAAATGAGGGCATGCACCACAGAGGAGTTATGTCCTGTGTGATCCCGGATTACTCTACAGCTAGAGTGGCAGAACGACGTGTGTGAGGTAGGCAGAAATCGTCAAGTGATGAACCACGCCTGTTTTCGGCACTCCAAGCGGGATTTGTTGCTCATGATTTTGTAGTATTGGCTGGACCTTCTGCTGTAGTCCTAACTTCTTCCATAGCCTACACGAGACGAAATAGGTTGCTGTCAAAACCAGCGAACCTGCTCGTTGTGTGTTTCAACGATATTGTGTAGTTTCTGACGCGCGTTGCACTATTTAATATGTATGGTATCATGAATTTGAACCGCAGCCCGTGAAGTCTTGCAAGCCGGTTGCTAGCTGCGCCTCTCGGAAAACGTCGTCCAGGATTTGGACCGTGCTACAGGTGTCAAAATCGACGAGCATAGTGACGAACTCCCGGAACGTCGACCCCTGCTCGTCGTTCAGACGATAACCGCCCGCCAGAATTTCCCTCTCTACAACGGAGTAGGCGCTGCGGCTACTTCCACGGTTGTTGTTTCCGGTTCCTCCCCCTGCTTGCTTGTTTTTTTCTCGTGCGAGGTTGCCATCTCCCTCGCTAACGCCGGCTGAATAGCGTGCATTGTCCTCTGCTGGACCCCGGTGCCTGATTGCCCCGAAAGTGGGGGGCCGGTTTTGATTGTTTCGAGCTGTGGCAGCGCCGCTGTCACCATCGCCGATACCGCCACTTTTTCTCCCGCTTTCGTAATCCCCTCCTCGGTCACGCTCACGGGCTGACGCCGGCCTGCATTTCCGGCTCCCTTGAGGCCTTTGAGCACTGCTACCCCTGCCGCTTGTTTCATCGTGCTGCCGCCTTTGAGCTCCCGCCGAGGCAGGGCGAACTCTTCGCGCAGCACCACTTGAAGCCCCTTTTGCTTGGTTCTGCTGGAGAGAGTTTCCTCGGAAGAAACTGCCGTCCCAGCGGTCTTCCCTCTTCTTCTTGTCAGGGATCGGCGACAAGACGCGGGGGTCGAGGTTCGCCCAGGGCGGGGGGTTTGTCACGCTCCTGGGAGTGTTATTGTTCACCTTGCTGCGCCCCCAATACACGTCACTTAGGTGTGCCTGTGTTAGAACGGAGAGGACGGCAGTCTTATCAATCGTGCAAAGCCTAGGAACATGCAATATGAAGACGAGCTCGAAAGCTGCTAGAGAATCTTTCTACGGGTCGTTACAAAATTAGCCTATCCTTCGCAACTTCGGGGTTTTTGCGAAATTTCCTTCTCTGCTCAAGATCATGAGACGTGTTTTTTCAAAGTCCGAAAATTCCAACTCCCTTTCTGGCACCAAATAACGGTCAGATCCAACTCGAAGGGTAGCATCCAAGGTAGAGACATCTGAGCCCGCGTCACCGCGGGCGTGGGCATTGGTTTGGATAAGATCGCCCCCTAGGCTCATTTCACAGCCATTATCGATCGGCAGAGAAGCGTGGAATCTTGTGCATGTAGGTGTGTGGTGGGTGGGGACGAGGGGGTTCAAACCAACATTTTCTTGCCCCCTGCAAAGCACAATCCTTGACGAGATTACCCATCCCACAAGTTGCAAGCTACCAAATCTGCTGACGTGTGGCGTAAAAGTCAAGTTACCCTATTATGCTCGTCGACAACCCCGCCGCCACTAGGCAGCTGGTACAGTTGGAGGGGTTGTTGGGAGAATGCGCGTCGAGGGTAGACGTTGGGAATCATGCCACCCCGAACTGACGATGCACCCGCTGAGAGGTGGTGAATAAGTAGCCTTGTGGTGCTGGCGAAAATGATCACACTAGCCAGCTGTTGCAACTTCGGGTGTAGCTTAAACAATCGTTGCGTGGAAGGGATTCGTTGAACCTATCTGCTGTTCCGCCACGGGGAAATTTTTGACACAACATCTCACGGAAATGGGCGCACCAACGCATTTGAACAGTAAGGAGGTAGGAGGTGGCGCACGGGGCTCCTTTCGTTAACCTCCCTCTCCTGGCGTCTCCAGGGCGACTGCTTGTTGCAAGGTTGTTGTTGTTGTTGTTGTCTTCACATTAAAAAACCGTTCAGGTCTGTCTCCACTCAGTACCTTCTAATGTTCGTACTGGTCCAACTGACGCGGACGTCTTCCGTGGTCACAAGCCAACTGCCCCCCATAGCGGGGGGGGTACACCTTTCTAAAATAAATATAGAAATAATAATGGACACCAGAAAATTCCGAGGTGTGCTTGTTAAACAGCCTTAGTGGATTTCGAAACAACACGTACGTGGGATACCGCGGTATCTCCTACTTGCGGGCTCTTCGAAGTTGCCAGAATTCCAAGCTGTAGATTTCGGAAAAGAGGTTCCCTTTGAAACGATCTCAACGTTCCTGTACGTGGTGCGTTGATACTTGAACGTGTTGGCTTAATTTCGCTGGTCGTGGATATGGCCTGTGGACAAGTTCGGAATCGACTCCTTGGATTCTCGTTTGAAAGAGCGAATTCGATACGGTTTATCAGTAGAAGACTGGTACTCTGGCTACAAGTAGTTCACTGCTTTTTCGTGTAGAGAGAGGATGCTTTGCTTGAGTCGTGATTAAATCGCAAGAAAACTTAAACCCTTGGTTTTCAGTTGGGCCCGCAACAGAGGAAACATTGGTTCAGGAAAATAGGCTCTGCTTGCTCGAAAAAATAATCGTCACACCTCAGTGGCTCCCACTTCGTACTGCGTTGGTATAATAAAAGTGGTCGCTTGTGTTATGGTATTTGGAGGTAGACATGTGATCGTGGTTGACCATGGTTAATTGGCGCCGTCGGATGCTAAGACGTGACGTCATACTAGATCAAGGCTATATGCCGAGGCATGTGCCCTTCTGTTCAGTGTGCGTGCAGACGATCCATGATCGTGTTTTCGTGGGATATTGTGAGTTGGCTTGGAAAGCGTTGATCAAGAGAAAGAGAACAACGGAAAGCAACAACAACCTGCTCCTGTGATGGGACAAGATAGTTCCACACAGCATAAAGGTGATTGATTCTGAAGGAAGGGGTCAAACATAGTTACACTTGGCGGTGGTGGAAATATTTGGTACGAAACTCGTGCTCGACCTGAAACTACCCCTAATACTCGGTGTATTTCTTCACTGCGGCCCCCTTCTGTAGGCGAAAGTTCCCTAAACTGTTGCTGCTGTCGATACCGAAGCACCTTCACAGTCTCGGGCACCCTTGTCAATTTCATGCGGCCTTGCAGCAACAAGCCTACAATGCTGCGGTGCCCATACTACACAATGTGTTATGTAGGTACCATCGCTCCACGAGTACATTGGAGGTGTTACAAAGTTGTCTGTGCATTCCTGTTCACGACTTGGGTGGCGAGCTCCACGGTCGCAATGTTTGGCAGATGCTAGACTGCTATCTACTCGGAGTACAGCAATAGGTTGAGAGCATCATTCGCGGTCTCTATGCATACTGGTACATGTTATTATGTAGAAGAAGAGACACGACCAGCGTAGTCGCGGCACTTACCACGTGGTACTTGTACATAATATCCGATTCTGAGGCGTTGAGATGCCCATTCCCGAGCCAATTCACGCCCAGTTCTGAGAGGTTATTCTTGTGTTGTCGGGACGCCATCGCTTCGACCACGCCAGCATCCATCTTTCGAGGTGGTCTGCACCCTTCCTTCGGCATTTCGGCCGATGTGTGACTGCTTGCCCTCCTTTATCCTCTATATCTTGAAGGAAAAAAATGACATGAAAACCACGACAGCGCGATGGTACAAGTGTACGATCGAAACACCATGCACTCAGTGCGTCATTGCCGGTGGATATGCATACAAGGATACGAAGTACGCCAAGCCCCAACAGCGCGCGGCCCAACTCTGAAGAGCCCGTTACCCGTTACTGCCGAAGGGGAACGCCACATGCGGCGGGATTCAATTCCGCCGCTCCGCAGGCATCCTCTCCGCGAAGAACGGACAGCGACTGCAGCACAAGGACCCAGAGGCATCCACTGGCCATGGCCAAGGTATTGGAGGCGTTGATCGCCAAGGGGCGTCGTGTTCGGCGCCCTCGAGAGCAAAAAGAGGTCGCCTTTGGCCTCGCCGACCTGTCTACCCACGAGGAACTGCATGACCGCATCGTCAAGAAAGGCGGCATCCGATCCCTGCTGGAGCTCCTGCGGCGCTCCCAAGATGCAGAGGCACAGAGATTTTCAGCTCTTTGCATCGCCAACTGTGCATCTGCTGTGTTCACGCGTCTTCAAATCGTGGAAGACGGTGTGCTGGAACCGATGATCAACTTTATCAAAGACGACGATGCGGACATGATTGTTCGGCAGTATAGTGCGATGGGGTTAGGGAACCTTGCTGCTGAGCCCGATAACCACGACGATATAGCAAAACTAGACGGGATCAGCGCGTTAGTCACACTTCTTAAGGCAAGCGACATCGAGTCTGGACGGTACGCCGCGTTCGCTCTGAGCAACTTGGCTGCAAACGCTAATCTCAGGGATGATGTGGTACTCGCCGGGGCGGTGCCAGCCCTCGTAGCCCTGGCTTGCTGCGAGGATTTCAACGTCCAGCGCCAGTCGCTGTCTTGTGTCCGTGGACTGTGTATTACGCCTGGGTACCGAGTTCAAGTGGTACGCGACGGCTTTTTGGATCCTCTGGTTCTCATGGCGAGGACAGACGATATGTTGTTGCTGCGAGAAGTTGCTGCCGCGTTCAACTGTTTGAGCTGCATGGAAGAGAACAAGATGGAGATGGTGGACCGCGCAATCGCCAATATAATCTCGATGACGATGTGTGGGGACAACGAGGTACAATTTCCATGCCCACCCTATTGGACACCTTTGTTGGCAGACATGGGGTAGATAGAGGGGGGCTAAATATGTTTCTGGTGCGTCTAGACGCGCCCAGAGCAACGGCACAACGGCGCACCCTACAGGGAAGTGCCAAACTTTGATAATAACCGTTTCTGTTCGGGGTGTATCCAAGCGCCTGCAGCTGCGTTGTTTGCATGTTGGCGCTGTGTTTTCGCCGTCGAGAAACTCAGTTAACGAACTACCTTAGGTTGAGTGTCTGCAACAGTTGTTGTTCAGCATGTAGTTTAGCAGTCTCTTACATACGTATGTTGTATTCGTCGTCGCAGCGCAACGCCGCTCAACGTCTGCACTTCACACAGTACCCTACACGTGATATCCATCAAACGCCAACGTAAACCCGGTCAAAATATTCCCGCCCCCCAGGTCGAGCGTCACGCTTGCTGCACCATAGCCAACCTGATGGAGATGAGCGAGCTGCACAACCGGTTGCTCGAAGAGCGAGGCCTACCCCCGCTGATCGCGCTGTCTAGAAGCGGTGATATTAACTCGAGAGAGGAAGCAAATCGAGCTGTCGCCAACCTCGCCGCCAACCCGGATATGCAGCAAGCTATCCTCAGAGAGGGTGCGCTCAAGCCAATGGTGGAGGCGTTAACAAGCGGTGAGGTCAACGCCCGCCGCTTCGCCGCACTCGGACTGGCAAACCTGGCAACCACGGTGTCAAGCCAGGTAAAGATCGTCCAGACCGGGGCCCTAAAACCTCTGGTGGCTATTGCCAAAGCGGTGGAGACGCAGCTCGAGGCACGCCGCTATGCGGTTCTCGCGATCGCTAACTTGACAGCGACGCTCGCTAACCACCCGAGTATCCTGGAGGAGGGCGCCCTCCACGCCCTCTTTTCGCTGAGCAACAGTCCAGACGTGATGAGCCAGTACTACGTCGGGTGCGCGTTGGCCAACCTTAGCTGCTCCGCCCAGAACCATAAGCTTATTATCGAAGAAGGAGGCCTTCAGCCAGTCATCACGTTGTCCTACAGTTCAGATCCGGATGTCCACCAGCAAGCAGCGGCTGCAATGCGGGGGCTCAGGTGTGTTGAGTACGTGTTGTGGAACAGGCCTTCAGAGCGATCGGGGAAATGCTTTTTTGTTTGTATCTGTAGCTCTAGGTGAGATAGAGGGCCACGAAGAAGGAGAAAAAATATGGGACTATGTGGGTTGGTGTCAGCGAGGTGTTTTCAAGAGTTGAAGATTGCCCTCAGGCCTTTCTACGGTGTGGCTGGCAACAGAAACGGATGGACCCTATACACCTTGGCGCAGTCCGCAGTCTGTGCCTCTTGACTGCCCTTGACCTCTTCTCCCTCTGGTTGGTGACTCCCGCGAACGAATACCATTCGTCGATCCGCGACGAACGGAAAACAGCGTATCTGACGAGAACAAGATGAAGATCGTACAAGAAGGTGGGCTGGAGCCGCTGGTCCAGCTCTTGGCCTCCGAAGACATCGAAATCCTTCGCGAAGTGTCGGCTGCGCTATGTAACCTGAGCGTCGGCGATGAGAACAAGTTCGAGATCTGCAAGAGCGGGGCGGTGCCTCCCCTGATACACCACATGCAGAGCGAGGATATGTCCTCAGCGTCACAGGCCGCCGCGTGCCTCGCCAACCTGTGCGAGATCCCCGAGAACCAGGTCGTGGTGTCACGAGAGGGAGGAATCCGTCCGGCCATCCTCGCCATGCGAAGTCGGTACGTTGAAGTCCAGAGGGAGGCCGGCCGCCTGCTCGCGAACCTTTGCGCCAGCACCGCGTATAGAGAGCCCATCATCGATGCGGGGGGGCACCAGCTTTTGATATCGTACCTCCTGAGCCAGGACGTAGCTTCGCAGAGGGTGGGAGCGCTCGGGGTTGGGAACCTGTGCACCCACGACACGCTTCGGGTAGTGATGATGCAGTCCGGCGCGCTCGAGCCTCTGTGCTCGCTCGCCAGGTCGGAGGATATCGAGCTTGAGATCCAGCGCTACGCCGTACTCGCCATCGCCAACCTGGCCATTTCCGTGGACAATCACGTCGCATTCATCGAGGAAGGCATGCTCACGCTGCTCATTTCTTTGTCGAACGCACCAGACCCGGAGGTGGGTACGTTCAGTCCCGTGTTTTGCATGCGGCAAAACCTACGGACACGTATTTAGGATGATTGTGTTGCATTCATTGTCTCTTTCAAGGTGCCCGAGACTTGGTGCTGACCGCATGTTGTTACTAAAGACGTCAGTTTGTGGATGGCTACCAATAGCCACCACATTGCTCCTGTACCAAATGTGTTGCTAGCGCATAGCTGCCACTGCCTAAAGCGAAAGTGGGCTTCTTTCGAGCTCTGAAGAACCTACAGACCTTATCTTCAGTTTCGACGTTGCCCGTTCTTCACTTCACACCACGTCACATCATCACAGGTACGGCAGTACGCAGCCTATGCCCTCGTGAAGGTGGGACAGAACAGCGACGTCCGCAAGCAGGTCACGGAAGAGGGGGGTCTCGAGCCGGTCCTGTACCTCGCCCGCACGGAGGAGCCCGAGATTCAGCGGGAAACTCTCGCTTGCCTGTGCTCGCTTTCGTTTTCTGAGGAGAACAAGATCAACATCACCAAGTACGGAGGCCTACCCCCCGTGATGAGTGCGATTAAGTCCCCCGACGTGGAGACCGCGCGGATGGCGTGCTGCGCGTGCGCCAACCTGTGTGAAATGGTGGAGAATATGGACAATATTGTGGACGCCGGCGGGATCCCGGCTCTAGTCCAGGTGTGCTTGTTTTGCTCTTTGGTGATACAAATGATGCTTGGATGCATACAGCTGGGTTACTTGGGGTATGTAGAATGTTTAGTGTCGATGAGAGTCTCAGAAGAAACACGCGGGTGACATTCGTCTTCGGCGCACAGGCATCGATCACCCAGTGCAAGGGCTTTCGATAACTCGCTAAAAAGCACAAGAGCTGCAGGCTACAGCGAGGGCTCACGGGTTCAAACGTCTATCGCCAGGTTTTTTATTTGTACGAAGTAAAACATTTCCGTGCAACCCCCGCGGATGCCCTCACGCAACCCCAAACAAAACCCTCCCGCTCTCTGCTGGAATCGTCGACAACACAACATCTTGACGGAGAAGGCACTCGGATCTTCATCCCCGCTGGTTTCGAGAGAGGCCGCACGGGCTCTTGGAAACCTGGCGGCGAATTTGGAGCACGGCGATGCCATTTTGAAGGAAGGAGCACTGAACATGTTCATGGCGCTGATACGATCGGAAGACCATCCCGTGCAGAGGATGGCGGCAATGGCTCTTTGCAACCTCAGCTCTAACGTGAGCATGTGGATGTTTCCAAAGCTCTTGTTTCTGGCGGAACAATTTTGATGAACCGCAAAACCTGAAGAAGCGTTTGCTTTCCAGCCTCATGTGCTATGTCCCTAAAGGGGCGACTCCAGCTTACCCAGCTTAGCCTTCGGTACAACAGTAACGGTAAAACGAATTTCTTTGCTCTGCAGTCTCACCTCAAACGTGCGTCCGGGGCTGCCGTTATCTTCGGCTTTCGTACCATATGGGCAAGACTTCTCTTCGGAGGAAGGGGGCCGTCGTGCAGCCCTCGCCCCTGACAGCACGGGGGGCGTATAGAGCTCCCGGATTTTTTTAAGTGGTTGTCGAAGACATCGGGCTCATACCTCGGTTCGAACAGACGTTTTGCCAACGACCACGGGACCAAAAAGCTCAAACGCAAACAAATAACGAAAGAGCAATATCGCCCCCAAAACCCCGTCATCATTCCCGCATGACTTTGTATCATCTCAAAACTGACCACTTAGCACCCGCCGACCAACCCCAACAGGTCAAGAACCAGCCGAAGATGTTGAAGGCAGGGTTGTTAGAGCCGATCACAGCGGAGACCCGGAACGCGCTGGACAACAAATCCAAGTGCGACCACGAAACCATCCGGTACTGCCTTCTGGCGATCGCCAACCTTGCCGTCAGCCGGGAGAACCACGGCGTGATAATGTCCCAGTGCCTGGAGACCTTGGCAGGGTTCAGCAAACACCAGGACATCAAGGCGCGGCAGCACGCCGTCTTCGCCCTGGGGAACATTTGCGCCAACCCCGACAACCTGGAGGCCGTGGTGTTGAGCGGCGCCCTCAAGACCCTCATCACCTACGCTTTCCCCTCCACCGACACTTCGGTGAACGTTCAGTTTCAGGCCATCGCGGCCCTGCGGGGGATCTCCACCCACCAGACGCTGCGGATGCAGGTGGTCAGGGACGGGGGGCTGGAGCCCCTGGTCCTCGCAGCCAAGTGCGACTCGGTTGAGGTACAGCGGGAGACGGCCGCTACCCTCGCCAACTTGGCCCTCGCCGAGGAGAACAAGGTATCGGTTCGGAGAGCAAGCTAGGTGGAGCGCAAAATCAGCGCACTTGGGTTATTGTTAGCTTGGAATTGCGCTTCGCGTCAAGAGAGTTCAGCCGTTCAGGTTTCAGTGCTGCTGTGCCTGTGTTCCACACCGATAGTCTAGTCTGTAGCCGATTACGTTCACCGGATTGTCGACGTCTCTTCTAGTGGACAGTCGGTAGTCTCGCGTGCCCACCCCTCACCTCTCTGCATGTGCGACTGGTGATGACTCTGTCGCTGCGATGGGACAAGGTGGCGATGGCTAGAAGCGGGGTTCTCCCGGCGCTATCCCACCTGTGCTTGAGCGGCGACAGGGAACGGCAGATTCACGCGGTAGCGGCTATGGCGAACATTGCGGAAATGGTGGAAGGACGGACGCAGAAGCGAATGATCGAGGAGGGTTGCATCAAGCCCCTGCTTGGGCTCGTGGACAGCCCAGACGTGAGACGATGACGGCTTGGTCATGTACTTGTATGCGGGGGGATTAACTTTCCTTTTGTTTCGCTCAGAGCTAAGTTCCTGAACGGATACGATAGATGTCGACGAGATCGGCCTCCGTTTTCCCGTTCATCATACTCAGTCAAGCTCACGCTACTTGGCGATTTGTTGGACTGTGAGGACCGATCCAAAATACCACACCCCATTACCCGCAGAACGAACAGCCTATGGGGTTCACGAAGCTACACAGCACTTCCCGGCAGTTATCTCCCCTGACAAATGGCATAATATGATTTCAGCATTGCGCAGAACCGCACTTGTGTTCCTTCCACCCATCTCACATACCCTCATTCAGAGAAAAACTACAAAATTCGGCAAGAGAGCAGTCTGGAAAGAACAATAATGAAGCAGCTTGAAACGACGCACTGACAAGCGGGAAACGTCTTGAGACCGGGCAGCACTACAAGCCCACCCATCGAGTGCCCGAAAAGCGTTCCGAACAATTCCAACCCAAAACCACTCCCCTGCCAAGCCGTACAACCCGCAACTTTGATACCAACGTGTCCACTACCTCTCAACAGCGATATTCGAACGCCAACAACAGCGCCAACGAACGCCAACACGAATTAACGCCAGGTTGAAGTCCGAGAAGAAGCCGCGAGGGCGCTGGCTCTCTTTGCCTCCAAGCGTGATTCTCAGGCCCACCTCGTCCGGAGCGGCGTCATCCCCAAGCTCGTGAGCTTTGTCCGCAGCTCGGACCCGGGTGCGAGGCGCTACGGTGTCTTGGGATTGGCCAACCTCGCCGTCGTGACCCAGAACCACCAGACGCTGTTTGAGGCCGGCGGGGTTTCCAGCCTTCTCATGGAGGCCGTGTACGCCGCGGAGGACATAGAGACTCGCCGTTGCGTGGCCTTCGCGCTCAACAACATCGCGAGCTTCGAGCCAAACCACCGGGCTTGCGAGCGGGCCGGGGTGTTGCGGCCGCTGGTGCGACTCCTGAAGGACCCCGACGCCAACACGCACCTCCAGGCCGTGTTCGCGATTAGGCAGCTGAGCGTCACCGCGAGATGCCGCTCCCAGCTGGTGGAAATGAAGGGGCTTCCCCCTTTGCTCAGGCAAGGCATTCCGAACTAGACTTCCGAAATATTAATTTCGCGAGGACAAGATGGATTGGTTGCAGGTGGAGACGGCAGGATTGCCCCCTTTACTCGGTAAAGGGCTGGGGACGGTGTAAAGGAATCGACCGTGGAGGGGAAAGGACTGCTGAATTACCACTTATTTTTTCCAGGTGGTATGGTTTCTCTTATTTTTTTCATGGGTTGACGCTGCGGAGCCGTCTTGCCTGAATTTTTTTTTGTGGGATGGATTCGAGTTCGCTCCCACGTTATCCTGCACTCCCCCTCCCCCTCCCCCCTGAGAGCTTCATGTCCCGCCGTACTCTCGCTCACCATGTGCTTTTGTCTGTTACCTGTTGTCTCTTGTGCCGGCCGTGGCAACACAGGCTTGGGAAGAGCGAGAGCGTGGAGGTGCTGAGGGAAGTCGCTGCTGCCCTTCGAAACATATCGTTGTCTGAGCACAGGTGAGGGCGTGCCTGCAGTAGGGCGCCTACCATACCGGAGATTCTGTTGGTTTTTACCTCGATTCCTCTTTGGGCCTAGAACAACCCGCAAATCACTTTGGTTGCTTCTGTCGTGCCTCGCTACTGGTTTTGAGGGCCCAGAAACTCGGCAGCCTCAATTCTCAAGGCTTGGTATTCGCGGGCGAGCTATAGTTAGTCGTATACGTACTCGATGATTTGCAGTGGTAGTCTCCCATCAAGTCCGGTGCCACGGCCGGTAGGGGAGACACAAAACAAAAGAGGGGCAAAGGCACACGCATCGCCACAGCTGATGTGTTGTTCTCGTACGTTCGCACGTTCGACCCGGACTCACGGCCGCTGCAGCAAAGTGGACATCGTGTTGGAAGGAGGACTGCCAGTGCTGATCGAAATGATGCACAGCGCCGACGTGGAGACGGCTCACCAAGGCACGGGCGTCGTGGCAAACCTGGCCGAAGTGGTGGAAAACCAGGGGAAGATGGTCGAATCAGGTGACGATACCTAAACCACCAAGAGTTACTTCGACAGCAACGATTGTTATATCGGGAATTAGGGGCATAACAGTCAGATAACGCCACGAAATTATTCTGATTGTCGTCTCTGCAGCTCGGGTTGGGGCAACGTAGTTTTGTCTCGCCAAGAATCTTCAACCACAGCCGTATACCACACAACATCACTCACTCTGGAAAATTATTTGGGTTAAAAAAATCTTATCGCCGGGTGTGGTGTTCTGTTGGGAGTATTGTGTCTTCAGGAAGTGAGTGATACAGTACAAGTCGTGAGAACCATGGATGGGTATCAGTGCCGTGCCTGCGTGAAACGATCTCGCCGGCGGTAAAACGGGCACCGGCGCTGTTTTTACGCTCTCCCTCACTTTACTGGATAGAGGCAGAACAGTGTCCAGGAGAAGAAAATGACAACAGAAATGCCACGTACGCCGCCGCATGTTGTCTACTCAGGTACTTCTTTACCTCTAACCGATACCTCCACTTCCGTAGTAGTCCCACCGGTAACAGAACGAGTTCGTTGGCCACATACTTTGGCCATTGACAAACCCCAAAAGAGGAAACACTTGCAACAGCCCCAATCCACCTACAATAGGTCCAGGAAGGCGTGAATCACATAATGTAAGGGCGAACCAGTCCTGGATGAATTCCATCAAAATTGAAGGAGTTTCTTTTAACCAGTGTTCCCGATGTTATTGACCACACCACACTTTCGCGATAGGCGTGCTCCAACACCTCAAGTTCGTCATGAGGAGTAAGTCGGTGGACGTGCAGCGAGAAGCCGTCAGGGGAATTGCCAACATCAGCGCCGAGTACGCGTACACCGCCGTCATCGCCGGGGCCGGGGCGATCATGCCGCTCGTCGCGATGCTCAGCAGCCCGGACTTCCTGTGCCAACGGTGAGAACAGAACGGCGACGGCGGGGGCGGGGGAGGGCAGAGGTTGGGGGTGCGACAGGGCCTCCACATTCCCTCCTTTCTCGTCTATTCGGCCAAGAGCCCAGGTAGATAGTCGGGGCGTTTTGGGGCCAGCTGAAATGTAGTGAAGTCGAGTTTCGACGTGGTCTGCTGAAGCGAGTGTTTTTATGCAACCGCACAATCGCATGCACTTCAATTTTGGTCATGGTCGACGAACGACGTGTTTTCAAGGAAGCCTTTATCCCCTGAACGGGGTTTGGGATCCAGGAAAGCCAAATACAACCGTTGGTCAGATTTAGGCTGACGTGCGCTGTCGCATCCACCACCACCCAGACGCGCCATGCATACACGTCCACCTTCCCTTGCTGACCCCACTACAAACACACGAATGAACACCCCGACACGCTGACAACCTCAATCTGCCTCGTAAACAACAAACAGCTACGCAGGGATGGGCGTTGGAAACCTCGCCACGAACCTCGGCAACCAAGAGAAGGTCATCAACGAGGGGGCCCTGCAGCCCCTCCTCTCCCTAGGCCGCCGGGACAACGGCGACCTCGAATCCCAGCGGTACGCCGTCTTCGCTCTGACGAACGTCGCGGCCACCCGGAGCAACCACTCGCGCTTGATCGGCGCCGGCGTGTGCGAGCTCATGGCCGCGCTGCTGGAGGCGGACGACGTCGAGATCCGGAACTCGGCGGCGTTCTGCATTGGCAATTTCGCGTCTAACCCCGACAACCACGCAACGCTGATGGACGAGGGGGTGTTGGGGCCGCTGATTAACCTCGTCGCGTCGTCGGACCCGCAGGTGTGTGTGTGTGCCGTGGAGCATTTCGTCAGTTTTGGCCCGCCTGTTTCTCCGCTTGGTTTGGCTGCCCTGGCTGTCTGCTAGATGAGGGAAAAGAACGAATCAGCGCTGCACAACCCGACAGAAAGTGGTATTGTGTGCTCCGTTGTCAGGCAGCATATTACGCAGCCGACCGTTCCAACCTCGGACGTTGAGCGTCACACGATACATGGTTTCTTCGTGGCTTCCATGAACCCTTATGCGGCGGCGGCAATGTCTCCAACGCCACGCACAACCCCGATCTCCGTGCTCAACCCTTCTCCTTGGCGCCTTGACGTTGTCGATTCGGCACACCTACAGGCGCAGCTTCGAGCGGCCTCTGCTCTCCGAGGGCTTTCCGTCGACGAAGAGCTGCGCACCCAGATTGTCGCCCGGGGGGGTCTAGTGCCGCTGCTACGGCTCAGCAGCAGCGACGACGTCGAAATTCAGATGGAGGTATGCGTGTAATTGATTCCGTTCACCTCCGCCAGGGTCACTCACCCCGAACATCGTTGCAGGTCATCCGTTAATATTGCTTCGCCCCCCCCCCCCCCCGTCTACTCTTCACTACCAGCTCCTGCGCCTCCACACCGCCCAAACGGGAAAACAACAACAACGTGTTTGTGTGCGTAGGTTCTCGCCGCCTTGTGCAACTTGTCCCTGTCCGGGTGCATCGGCCAAGACCCGGCTCGCTTCCTCAAGGCGGTGGACGTCGGGAACCTGGTCTCCTTCCTCTGCTCGGCGGACGTCACCTACCGCCTCTTCGGGGCGGTCACTCTGGGCAACATCGCCTCCGACGTCAACCTCCAGGCCCCCATCGTCCGGGGCGGGGCTCTGACCCCGCTCATCACCATCGCCAACGCCGCCGACTTGGAGACCCAGCGCTGCATCGCGTACTCCCTGTGCAACCTCTCGGCCAACCCGGCACGGCGCGGGGCGATCATTTCGGAGGGGGGACTGCCGTCGCTGATCTCGCTCGCGTGTAGCGATCACCCCGTCGACCAGCGGGCGGCGCTGGCGACCCTGAGGGCGATTTCCGCCGACCCGGACCACCGGAGAGCGGTTGTGGAGGCCGGAGCCCTGGAGGCGTTCTGCTTGGGGGCAAGGTGAGAAGCACCTCTGGTAGAGCGCATGCATGTCCCCCGCCACTGCTCTTGCACTTCGGTATGACAGCACACTAGGCAATAAAATGTTTCTCCCCCTGTCCCACCCTAATGTTGGAAACCTGGCCTCCCAACGACACCCACTCCCGACCCCAACACCGAGCGGTCAGGCTGCCAGCGATTGCCTTTTTGTCTCTCCAACATAAGCTCGTCTGCCACGCCGATGTTCGTGAAACCATGAAAAACGACGACTCGCGCGGCCGCATCACCAGGTGCGAGGACGATGTCGAGGTCCGAAGAGAGGCGGCCCGTCTCCTCTTCGCCCTGTCCCTCAACGAGCTCAACAAGTTGGACGTCGCCGGGGTGGGCGGCACCTTGGACGGCGGCGGAGGAGAAGGAGGAAGCGCGGCCACCGCCGAGGTTGCCACCGATCTGGTCGCTCTCGCGCGCAGCGACGACCCGCCCTGCGTGCGCAACGCGGTGGGAGCCCTGGCCAACCTCAGTGAGAACGACGCCACGCACGAGCGCCTGCTGGGCTGGGGCGCGAACTTCTTGAGCGAGCTGGCTCTGAAGCGAACGCCACCACCGGGCAGCGACGGCGAAGGCCTTGCGAGCGAGGAGGACAATATCAACGGTGACGTTTCGACCGGGGGTGATGTCAGCGGGCGCACGGCGTCAGGGGAGGCCGGGGGTACGGACGTGGGGCTGGTGAGGGAGGCTACCCGGTGCCTGGCGAACCTCGCGGGCAACTATGCTACGCATGATAAGCTGCTCGACGGCGGCGTTGCGGACGCCCTGGTGGGGTCATTGAAGAAGGAGGACGCGGTGACGGCGAGGTTTGCCGCTCTCGGTTTGGCCAACGTGGCGGGGCAGGTGAGCGGGATGACTTGAAACCACGTTGGAGGCTGTTCAATAACATTCCCTCTCTGCCCAAGTAGTTAGTCCTCCAGAAATCGTCGGGAGCTTCTCTGGTTCCATGACCCGGAGTCTTCTGCGCCGAGGGTATAAACCTTGTTCGTTTACACAAGAGTAGCCGCTGGCGATTTGTCTCGAGGGAAGTGCCAATATTTGCTGCCAACCTACCGACATACAGCTAAACAAGTTTCGGCGGTAGTTTTGTTTTCGCAACATACATACTTAGTACCAAGCATGAGCAATACAAGAGTATTCCTGCGCCCATTTCGTGTACCGTGTTGTGCATTCTGTATGCAGAGTGGAAACCACGGACGGGTCTGCGCCGCCGGGGCGATGATTCCGTTGGTTCAGCTCGCCGCCGGGGAGGCACGACGCTATATCCTCCTTCGCGACGACGGCACCATAGACGTGGAAGGCATGTCCGACCCATTGCGAGAGCCAAGGCTCGACGAGGAGATGATTCGACTCCTTGGATACGACGTGGACTGTAGAAGGTTTGTGCCAAGGGTTTTGACTTTTCCCGAAGGCGTCGCATTTGTTTTTCTAGCCTATGGTATTTTGTTGACATGACACGCCAGCCCGATTTCAGTCCGATTTCTTGGACCCCTGATCACAGATGTTGCTTGTTATCCTCCTGCATCGTTGCTACGCATTCCACAAACTTAACGTTAGCAACGGATACGAGTATGAATCACAGGTGAACCCCAACGTACGCACTGGTGACAAACAAAGAGAAAGTGAAGGAAAAAACGCAAGGCTGGAAAGAAATACAAGGCGGAACTGGCTACGCGGAATGACCGCCTACACTTCGTCAAGGACGGCCAGTATTCGTTGTTGTTCCACGAGTTCTTGCCGTGCAATGTTTCTGGCTGGTTTCTTCCTCTGTGAACAGCCCGACAAATCTCACTGCGGACTTCGTAGGTTGTACATATAATAGTCCCTGTTACTCTGATGTCTTGAAGTCAGAGAACTTGTCCGTGTCTCCTACGGTACGGTTTAGCCTGTGCAGCATGCGTTGGACAGCTGCCCCATTCAACTTCGACCCGAAGAATACCTTTCACAATACTGTCGACAACGAGCACTGCACTTCAATCATCCGTCCTTCATTGGGCGGGTTGGCCTTACACGATACATCAAGACTGTGTAGCATTGCTGAAGCTTCTCGGGCCTGCATACGCACAATCATCTCGAACAGATACGCCTGCCTGGCGTTAGGGAACCTTGCCGTGGCAACCGTGAACCACGACGAAATTATTGCAGCCAACGGCCTGGAAGGGCTTAGCTCCGCCCTCGACTGCGACGATGATGAAACCGTTTTCAACTCCTGTTACGCCCTGAACAAGCTCGCCATGAGCGAAGAAAATCACGAGGTGGGCGCTAATAGGCGATGAGATGTGCCGATTGTCGTTCTGTGTTGACAGGGAGGACCCTTGCAATCTCCGACGAACATACAGACGGTCTTTTACCAATTTTACTGACCGATCCCGCGAGAGATGCTCTCCGTGCAACCTCTCGTGCAGCCAAAAGAAAGCACGCCAAATTAAAAAACAGCGGCGCATGTTCAAGCACTCCTGTCGAACGTGCTGGTCGAAAGTGCTGGGCATGGTGGCACTTGCTCTGGTCTCATGTTACCGGGCTTTTAGCCCGCACCCAATAGTCGAACGTGGGCACACCTGCACTCCCAACGGACTACCGTTGTCTCTGCTGCATGAACCGATTGCCCGGAGCCATACGTAAGCGAATAATCCCTGGTGTACAAATACTTTGGTAGCGGGCACGTTTAGGTCATGAAACACCTACAGTAGTTGCAACCGAACAATTCAGATCAACGAACGAACGAGCGCAAGGTTGTTCAAGGCGGAAGGTGTTCCTCCCGGGAATGAGAAGCGTTCACAAACAGGAGTCTCAAGATTAACGAAACTTAAAAGCGAACGCTAATTTCGCCTGATGCGGGCGAGGGAACTACGCTCTAAACACGTAAAAAAAAGACACGCCTTTGAACGTTGCAAGTGGGTACTTCGACCAACCGTTCGGCAGGTCATGGGACAAAAAGGCGTCCCGAAGCCCCTCGTGCTCGTGGTGGGCTCGGGCTCGAGCGGGGACCTCAGCACTACCGGGCAGGCGGTGTCGGCTCTTCGAAGGCTGGCCTCCAATGCGGACAACGCTGTCGGGATGGTCCGAGTAAGTAATTTTCTTGTGGCGCAACGTTTCCTTGTTTCTGTTTTTAAAGTTATGCGGCTTGTCTAACGGTTTCCGTGGCCTTCTTCCACGGATAGACCTTTGTTTCGATGTTTTTGACTTCTTCTAGGCGTGCTATTTTGTCACCGTCGTCATTGTGTTGATGGCAGCCATGAGCTGGCGTAAGAGTAGATGCTTTTCTGCACGGCTATTTTGCTTTCTTCATTTGAAAGGTGTGCAGCATCGAGAAACCTCTACATCGAGAAACCCCGACGACAGAAAGCTGCTTTCCCGTTGAAAACGTGCAGGATGGCGTTTTGGACGCTCTCAGGCACGTCTGCGAAGAGGTTGGCTGCGTGGAGAACCAAAGAGAGGCGGCGGCGCTCCTGTGCGCCTTGGCGGTGCCGTACGAAAACAAGCTGCCCCTTGCCGAGAGCGGGTCGGCGGAGCCGCTGATGCTCATGTGTCAGAGCGCGGATGTCGAGGTACTGGAATTGACTATAATACTACAGCTCACGCTCGGCAAAGTAGTGAATTCCTTGGCCACAGGTTCTGAGTTTTTTTATCTGCGGAGTAGCTCCGCTCGGAGTCTTGGTGTAAAATACTCTGTGCAACGAAAGGCATCGGGGTTGTGACCAACGTGCCAATCGCTCAGGGCGGGTACCTCTCTCCCACCGCACTTGAACGTTTCAGAAACTGGGTGAAGGACACACAGGATTCCCCTTCGCGCGCCCATAAGCCCGACGGGCCTCGCGTGGAGTTTTCGCGCCTGAATGGTGGAGCTATTGGTGTCAGTTCCGTCGCTTTCCGACCGGCCGGGATTGCTGCTGCTGTTGGTTGCGGGTCCGAAATTTAACCAAGAAACGCCTATTGTTACCCTGTGCCCCAGGTGGCCCGACTTGCATGCGGAGCAGTGGCCAACGCTGCCGAGGACTCCTCAACCCACCCGGCCCTGCTGTCGCGAACGAACGCGATGCACTACATGGTGTTCCTCATGAGGAGCAGGCACCTAAGCGTGCACAGGGAAGCCTCTCGGGCGTGTGGAAACCTCCTGACCCATCGGGACGCTCACAGAGACTTCGTTTCGGAGGTATGCGTTGGTGGCGATTCGCAGCTTTCACGCACGTTGTGTCTCACTTGAGGCGAAAAGGGTGGGGTGGGTGCGAGGGTTGAACGGAAAACGTCCCGGGTTACGCCATCCACCCACGTAAGCGTGCTGCCAGTTTTCATTGCCGATGAAACGTCCAACCATCCCCTAGGAATACTTTTTTGGGACTCACGAGCTGCGCAGCGTGCGTGATGCACTTCGTGAGCATCGCTAGGGGACAGCTGTGAGCGCAACGCAGTCAGCATCCGCCAGAGTGCTGAGGCTCCACCTTGCAACGTGCAGAGTGGCTCGAACTCGAGAAAACGCCCATTCTCTTCCGTTTCTGGCCGCCTCAGTTGTACTGCATCAAACATTTGACCGGCTATGCCGCCTAAAGATCCGAATCCTGCCCCAAACCTGCCTGAAACGAAAGGACGGGCTACGCAGTCTGCTCTTGGTGGCCACGTCTTTGGACGACGAGTGTCAGTACAACGCGGCCGTCATCTACCGCAAGCTGTGCGCCGACCGGCACACGCACGACTACGTCGTCGGGCGGGGCGGGCTGCAGGCGCTGCTCGGCCTGGTGCAGCTGAGGGGGATGGGGACGCAGAGGCAGGCGGCGGCGGCGCTGAGGGACGTGTGTTCCAATAAGGATCACAAGGTGAGCTTACCTTTTGTGCCATGGTCTCGTTTGTCTGTTTTGGTGCTGAAGCCTGGAGGTTAGAGTCGGGCTGTGCTGTTCTTGTTCTGGTGGAGAGGAGCATCTGGCGAGGTTTGCATAGGGCCGTGGTGACTGTGCGGAAAATGTATAATGGTGTTCCAAGAAAATCGACAACGCAAAAGATGCACTTCAAGTACCAGACTAGTCTCCACAGGCACATCGGCTAGTGGTCGTCTGGTTTTGTACGGTGTTTGAAGGCATTTGTACAGCACAGGACAGCAAAGGAAGAGTGTCGATTGGAGTACAAAGCCATAGGCGAGAGCACTGTCTCGTTGCAATGCACAACCAAGAGATGTGTAGTAAGAGATCAACGAGGAGATCTTAATACTCTCGTGTGTATCCGGAAGCAGCACCAATAATGGACTAATATGCGCTTGCGTAAAACACACCAAACACGTACGAGTGCGGCTGACCGTTGTGCGTGTTCCAGCAAACTCGATCGTTACCGACACGCACGCAATCGTCACAGTCCTTGAATGACCGTTTTCCGTACCAGGGTGCTGTGCGGTACTTTTTCGCTGCACGTTCACCACCCCACTCTGTGCGTGTCGATCTTCCCTGTGCACTAAGTTCCTTGTTTGGCCTCCGTTCGTTCCATCACTCATGCAACCCCGATCCCATATACACACCGTGCCCCTCCCATTCTGTTGAGCTTTCCTGAACGAGACCGTACCTCGACTTGCGTTGTCTATTGCAATGTTAATCGTGTAATCGTCCGTTCACACAGGTCACCGTCGCCGGGGAGGGGGGGCTTCGAGCTCTGGTCGCGCTCTCACGCTGCGAAGACCTCGAGCTGAGAATCCTCGCAGCTGGCGCCCTCCGACACCTGAGCCTCAACACCAGGGTGAAACGGCCTATGGTGGAAGAAGGGGCTCTCGGGTCAATCCTGAGGTAAATATACGCCGCCATGATTGCCTTGCTCTCATGTGCCGAACATAACATTTTCTCTTCGTCTTCCTCTCTCGTATCCAACAACCAAAAATAGCATGTAATAGCTATTTTGGGGCACCAAGTCCATGGCTATTCCTTGCCAGCGTATGCTCCCTCTCTCTCCTCCTCTCCGTTCTCCGCATCCTTGAGTAATCCCTCCTCGTGATTCTCGCGTGGAATCACATCATAGCTTCTTCGTAAGATTATTGCGTAGCACACAGACTGTTTGATACACTCCAATGCTTGGCGTGCGTTGTCTCTTCTTCTTATCGCGTCAAAACCGCCGTACCAGGTGCATCGACGAGGGCTCCGACAGCCTAGACCTGCTCTGCCAGTGCGCGGGAACAATCTCTAACCTTGCTGAAGACGCGCGAAACCAGGTTTAAGAAACTTTCATGTTTTTGTGTGCTGCCTTTAGCCAAAACATGAAGCATCTAATATGAGGGCAACCAACCAGAAGGTTTGGGTATCGCTTTCATGCTAATCCCGCGCCGCCCTGTGAGTGTGTCGACTTGCGGTGAATTGGGGTAGGGCGTGAGCTGAAGAAGCGCAAGTCCTGTAGCGAATCACAGAGGTTGTGTGCGTCCTATCTGATACTGGCTGGTCGTTGCCGAGCCACGAGTCTAGGGGTGTGTTTGATACCCAAGAAAGGAAAAAAATATCGAACAGAGTGTCCTATTTCAAGGCAGGAAGGGAGGAATCGCCGATATTATTGAACACGCGCATCCCTACCGAATATCATACGAGCATAAGAGGAATCTCAAAAGAAGGTTTTAACCAGGTTGATGGAATGAGTAAATAGGCAAGCGACCACCAGTCGCTTGAACCATTCTAACACGTTGGGTACCCCGTTGCCGGCAAGCATCAATTTGGCGTCGAGTTCACTATCCGCTGCTGCTTTTCCCGTTGAAGCGTGGCGTCTCACATCATACCGACGAGGGTTTTCATTTTTTGCACCTGCCACTCAGCACAGCTGGTATCGTGACGTGTCCTCTTTCTCGAGAGAACCGGGTTCTCATTCCTCAGCCTCAATCTTCTTTGACAAAGGGGCGCCAGGTACCCATTCAGGCAACCCCGAACAGTACGTCTCTCCCACTACACTCCCGTCACGTTACCCAACGCCATTCGTTTCGCTGGTTGTCGATCCTAGGAAAGGTGCTTAAGGGAACGGCCACATGATCACGGTGAAACGAAGGTCGTATTTTCTCTCACAAACGAACACTATTTCATCTTCAAACCGTCAGTCGTTGAGATTCCGTCTCATATGGGGCGCACAAAAAGAGTGAAAAAGTCATTTTTCTACATGGCCCAGTGCTCACCCGTTGCCCTCCTGTGACCCAAACAACCAAAACAGGTCACTCTCGTAAAAGACAACATTATGCCGAGGCTGATCATCTTGTCCGGCGTGGATGACGAGGGCGTGAGGGTGGACGTTTCGAGGGCTTATGCCTCGATAAGCTCCAACGCCCAGTGCCAGGCAAGTCGGGATCAACAACAAATAGCGACTGGATGTACACATGTACTGCATGTGTGAGAGGCCCAGGTTCTTTGTGGAAGTGTTACTGAGTCAAAATGTTCTGAACTTCACACATTTTCGTCCCCGCAAGGACGGTAGTTAGGAAGTATCTGGAGTTTCTGCTTATAGAATGCTGCATCCCTCGTAAATCCCAAGACGCCAATAAAACAAACGGGTCATTCTAGAAGCATTTGTCACCCCAACAATCCATCACGCACACGCATGCACCCTGCCCCCAAGGCCAGCCATAACATGCCAAATGAAAAACAACTGCCATGCCAGGTTGGCGTCTTCAACGCAGACGATCTCCGCGCCATCTTCTCCCTCGCCGGCTCTGCCGAGGAGAAGTGCGTCCGTGACGCCGCCATAACCCTGGGAAACCTGGCGGTCGTCACCAGGAACCAGCAGGCCATCGCAGACGCTGGCGGGTTCCCCCCTCTCGTGGCCATGCTCAGCGGCAACCCCTACGTATCGTGCCAGAAGTTTGCGGCGCGAGCGCTGTACCGCCTGGCCGCCCACGCGGACAACAAGCCGAAAATTGTGGCGGAGGGGGCGTTGCCGCCCCTGGTTCGGCGGCTTCGCAGCCCTGACGCTGAGGTGGCGAGGTGGGTGGGCTGGGTGTTCGGGTTCTTCATTATGTTTTTTTCTTCGCAGTGTGGGCTTTGAATGGGGTTTAACAAGAGTTTCATCTGGATTGTCACTTTCTGGGAAGGGCGGGTTGTCCGTTTCAGGGAGAGCAAGCACGAGCTACTCACGTGCTACTGAGGTCGTTATTCGAAGTACTTTTCAAAAAGGAAACGCCGTGTAGTCCTCACAATCAGTTCTTCCCTTGCACGAAAAACGCCCGAAGAAAATGGAGCGAACGCATGTGTGTGATACTCGCGTGAGCTCAGTTGTGATAGGAAAATTATGGCACGAGAGAGAACAATGTCGACAACTTCAAGCCCGCGGGAAATCATCCGAGCAGGAGCATTGTGTTTTCCCTTGGGCAAGGACAGAAAATCAACATACACAGTTTGTGCAAGAGTACATCAAAAGCTTGCATTCTCGCCGCCCTATTCTTGGCACGCTGACTACTTCTTTTATTGCGCGCTGTCACGAAGGTTTTCGGCGATGACGCTCTGCAACCTGTCCACCCACGCGGACTGCAAGTCGGCCCTCGTATCCTTGCACGGCTTGCCGCCGTTGATCGAAATGCTGGAGGGGGAATCAGACCTCGTGAAGCGATACGCCGCCATGACCTTATGCAACTTGTCGACGCTGGCAGTGAACCAGGTTCGATACGAGCAAACGCTAGAAGGCGGCATTTCCGTTATTCGGAGATGGAAGTGTAGCGCAACCTGGTTAGCGTGACCTTCTGAAAATGTGTACGTCGTAGTCTTTTCGCATTGGCAGTATACACGTCGGACGATATTGGTGGAATTCCGGTGGTTCAATACCGACGTGGACAACTGCTGGCACCCAGGTAGCCTCACAGCAACACGATATTGTGGGTTCGAACAACCCTAACTCGGAAACTGATCATTTTCGGCACCACAGCTCTTTCTTCGCCGAATGAGTTACCGGCAGTCGACCTTTGCACCAGGACCTCGGCGGAAAGTGCCTGTTTGAACGCACCCGGGAGCGCCAGAAAAAACACCAATGGTGCGAGAGAAGTGCATTTCCGCACCGGGGTCGGCGATATCACACAGGCTCGTGTCATTTTATTCCTCGATTCGTGGAAAGTTCCAGCAAATATTCTGAGCCAGACCCCTCACCACCACGACGCGCGTTTCGTACACGCTTCTGCTCAAACAGGTCCATATCGTCAAGGCCGGCGCGTTGCCCAACCTCGTGCGGCTCACATCTCTGGGGCGAGAGAAGCTCGACGTCAGCCGCTACTGCGGGATGACGCTGTCCAACCTCGCCTGTCACCGGCAAAACCGCGTGCCCGTCGTCCACGCGGGCGGGTTGAAACCCTTGTGCGACATGGCCTTCGACGGCGAGCGACTTGAGATGCAGAGGGCCGCGGGCCTCGCCCTATACAATCTTAGCTGCGCCGCGGCGAACCAGGCGAGTTATGGTTCGGCCGGGCACCGTGTCGGGCAGGATTGAGGGCCTATTTGCGATTGCCGGAATGCGCACAATCTTTGCGGTATGGGGCTTGTTTGTACCTCCGCTTCGCACGAGAGCAGTTTCCGGATTTCTGCTTCAAACAGGTGGTAGTGGTCGCAGGGAACGGTTGTACTGGAGACCTGCTGGAAAACAATTCACACCGTTTACCTACTGTATGAGTATCGGCCTCGGGAGCACTTGCCGTGTACCAACAGTTGAGCTAACCAACCTGACCCTAACCAACCGTATCCCAAACGTGCCTCTTGCATCCCCTCTCCAATCTCGAAAAGATCGTCATGGCCGAATCTGGCTGCCCGGCGTCTTTGATTCGACTGACATCTTGTCCTGATGTGGACTGCAAGCGTCTGGCGGTGATGACGCTATGCAACCTTACCGCGAACGCGGAGACGCGTGCGGCAGCTACCCGGGGGGGTGGGCTGCAAGCCGCCGTGAGGCTAACATCGGACGGGGACGGGGAGTGCAGGAGGTACGCCGCCACTTGTGTCTGCAACATGGCCAACGATCACCAGATGCAGGTGAGCAGTGGAGAATGAGCGATCGGGGGGGGAAGGCGTTGTGTTGGCGTGGTTCTGCAACGCGGCACGCGCATCCCAAAAGGCAGCGGAGGGTGGGATAACGCGTGAAGGAGTCGGGCCGATCAGACCCGGCGCTGAAAGTGCAAGCGTGCTGCCGGGTGGCAGGATTTGAAACACTATTGAAGTTGATTTGAGCCTCTTGTCCATCCAAAATAATTATTTTCTGGACAAAGGACACCAACCGTGAGATGAATAGACATTCCGGAGTTGTGTCTCTCACGTACTGCCAACACCGTCACCGCCCCCGCCCCCCCCCATCTCGACACCACCGCTGCTACAACAATCCCCACCACTGTCACAGCTACAAGTGGTAGTTCACGGTGGCCTCCCGCCCATAATGGCTATGGCGACGAGCGGCGACCCAGACGATCAGCGGCACGCGGCGATGGCCTTGGGAAACATTGCCGCCAACGAGGGAAATCACCCCCAGCTTGTGGCGAAGGGGGCGATCCAGGCCCTTGTAGCGTTGTCCAACTCTTCGGAGGTGGATGTGCGTGAGTACGCCGGCTTCGCGCTGGCGAACCTCGCCAGTAACGCGGACTATTTGGACGCGATCGGGGCGAGGGGGGGGATCGATCCCCTCGTCAAGCTTGCTGGTTCCGCAAACGTTCACACTCAGGTAAGAGGAATGGAGAGCATGCACGGGTGGTAGGCGTTCCCTCAAATGTTTTGGTGTCTTAACACTTTTTTTTGGGTGGGTGGGCGCTGTAAGATAGAGGGCTCGTTTCAACCCATGGCATGTTTGCGCCATTGAAGAGACCGCAGTTCCCGTTTGGTCAGAATCCCCGAGACATTCTGAAACACAGTATTTTGAAAATTCTCCTTGCCTGTTTGAGCCGCGTGTCGTCAAACAGAGAGGGAGACAACGAGTACACTGACAGCGGGAAGTTTATTCGCAACAGCTGGTTTACGCTCGTCGTTGCTCGCGTCACGCACACTCAAGTACGCGCGCGACACCGTTCAATTGATTCCACTGCGAGAGGCTCGCGCTTGTACTTCCTCTGTGGGAAAAATAGTTAGTCAACAAATGCTTCCGCTTGAGATTCTTTACAGGGCATCTCGTTTTGAGAAAGAAAGTGAGGCCTCGCTGTCTTCGCTGCTAAGTGCTCACCAATGTGGTACCACCAGCCATAAGTTTTTCCGCCGTCGGAGAAATGGACGCACAACAAGGCCACCTTCTTTGAACCATACAAAAACACAAGTTCCACCTTTGCGTCGTCCTTGGCCATGTGACATGTGGCACAGTGCCTCGCAATGGCAGCCTTGCGTCGGATGGCCATTCCACAAGACAACCGACATCTCTTGGTGGAGGCGGGAATCCTCGCCACGTTGGCCCGCGCAGGACGGAGCGGCGAGGTCGAAATCCAAAGAGAGGTGACTACCTGCCTAAAAAGCGCCGATGACTAACAAGGATGAGTACCCAAGCAAGCACCTAGCGTCATAGATGACCGCTGTCGGAGATTATGTTATGCCGGGGTTCGTTAGGTTGAGTGTTTGGCGCTGTTGAGGTATTCCGTTGAGTGTCGCTGTCCTTGGAGCAGAGTGTTCGTGTTCATTATCCTCACACCAACTCATCTGTCTCCCAACGCTAGATTTTTTTACTCGGTCGTTTCAACCAAACCACGAAACAGGTGGCGGCGTGCCTGTGCAACCTGTCCCTCAGCGAGCAAGACCGAGTCGCGGTTGCCGCACGATGCGTTCCCGCGTTGGTGGCCCTATCTCAAGGGGGCGATCTCGAGGCGGCGAGACAGGCGATAGGCACCCTTGCAAATCTGGCGGAAGAGATCGACACGCACGAGCTCATCGCCAAGTCGGGGGGAGGGAGGGTGATGACGGGCCTCATGAAGCACGACGCCCTCGACGTTTTCCGAGAGGCGAGTCGGGCAATATCCAACCTACTGACTAGCTTTGAGCACCAGGCCGTCATCATCGAGCAGGGGCTCGCCGGGCTGAACGCACTCGCCGAGAGCACCGACCCAGAGTGCCAGTACCACGCCGCGCTGAGCTTCCGCAAGCTCTCGCCGAACCTCGCATCCCACCGCGGAATGTGCTTTGACGGGGGACTCAAGGCTCTGTTTCACCTCCTCAAGGCTAAAGACTTCAAGACCAGGAGGCAGGCGGTCACAGCCCTCCGAGACCTTTGCGCGCACGCCGACCACAAGTTCAAGGTGGGGAGCTATGGATTCCTTCATCCTGTTGCCACTTGTACCGCACCGACCAGAACATATTGAGCGGGTCAACTCTCGCAATAGCATGCGAAGTTTGTCGTTTCAACGGAAGTGTCCAGCCTCATATTGTGAGTGTGCATGTTTTCGCGGCCAACGTATTTCGTACAAGTATGTCGGACCGCAAAGCTGTCTGACTGATTAACGGGGATGCTGCGCTAGGCTCAGTCCGTGGGGTGCTCTTTCGGCACTAATCTTGCAAGATTCTTTCCCATTTCAGTCAAAACCCCTAAAGGCAAACCAGCCCGTTCTTCCTGGACTTGAAGTACGTTGACTTGTCCCCTCCAAGTGTCAGCATCCCTTTCCAATACCCGAACATGACCTTACTTATTTTCGCCGACGTGTATCGTAGATTGCCGACGAAGGCGGGGTCGAAGCCCTCGTTTCCGCAGCCTTGGAACGCGAGATCGAGCTCCAGATCCTTGCAGTGGCGGGACTGCGCCATCTGTCGCTGCTTGACCCGCTCAAGCAGGCCATCGTGTCGGCCGGGGCGCTGCGGCCAATCGTTCGCTGCGTCAAGTGGGCTAACGAGGACCTCCAGTGCCAGCTCGCTGCGGCCCTGGCCAACCTGTCGGAAGAAATCCAGAACCAGATTACCATGGTGGAGGACGGAGCGGTGCAGGCGCTCGTCGCGCTCGCGAGGGCGGAGAACGACGAGATACAGCAGGACTGCTCCCGGGCGCTGAGCAACCTCAGCAGCAACGAAGAGAACCACACCCTGGTGTACAGGCTGGGCGGCCTGCGTGCGTTGGTGGGGCTGACGAACTCAACCGAGGACGTCTGCCAGAGGTACGCGGCGTTCGGGCTGAGGTTCCTGTGCAGCAACCCGGAGGTGCGCGTGAGCATTGTCCAGGATGGGTTGATCAAGCCCTTTCTGGCGCTGGCGCAAAGCCCGCTCATCGAGTACCAGCGGACCGCGGCCGCGGCGTTTGCGAGCTTCTCCCTCAACGACGAAAACAAGCAGAAGATGGTGCGGGAGAGCTGCCTGGGCCAGATCCTGGCGTGCTGCCTCTACTCGGACCTCGAGGTCGTCCGAAACTGCACCTTCGCCCTCGCCAACCTTGCGGACTCTTTGGACCTGCAGAGCGACGTGGTGAGGGAGGGAGGCATTGAGATCCTGCAAAAGGTTGGCATGCACGACGACGCGCGAGTCCAGCGCGATGCCGCCCGCACCCTCGCGTGCCTTAGCGTTAGCGACGACGTCAAGGACGCCATCATCACGAAGGGCGCGCTGCCGACGCTGTTCCAGCTGGCTCGCTCTCTCGACGTCGCCAGCCAGCGATACTCCACCCTCGCGCTCTGCAACTTGTCTTCCGGGGAGCACAAGGCGCGGATCGTCAGCGAGGGGGCCGTTCGGCCGCTCACGTTCCTGGCCCGGTTCCCCGACCTCGAGATACAGCGGTATGCGGCGCTCGCGATCGCCGGCCTGGCCCTGGGAGATCACGGCAAGCCCCCAAACAAGCTTAGAATAACCGAGGAGGGTGCTTTGAAGCCGCTCATCGACCTCGTGCGATTCCCGGAGGCCGAGGTGCAGCGATGCGCGTGCCTCGCCGTGAATGCCGTGGCCCTCGGCACCCACAGCTCGACGAAAACCGCGGTTATGCACGAGGACGGGCTCTTCCCTCTCCTGGAGCTGGTCAACTCTGACGACGGCGACTGCGTGAGGACGGCGGTGTACGCGCTGGGTTCCCTGTGCGAGAGCGACCCGGTCAAGGCGAGGCTAATCGAGCTCGGTGCCGTCGTGAATGTGGTTGGCCAAGCCAGCTTCGGCGATATCGAGGTCAAGCGCGCCGCCGGGTACTTCCTGGCCTTGTTGTGCGAAACGAGAGAGTTCCACGACGACCTGGCGAGGGAGGGTGGACTCCAGGCGGTGGTGGCACTCGCGAGTCTTGAAGATGTCGAGTGCCAAGAGTACGCAGCGTTTTCCTTGGCGCACTTGTCGAGCAACCACGAGTACCAGGTGATTTGTGTGCGTGGGACAGCTTTTATACCCAGGGGCGTAGTCGGCCGGGTGGACTACCCACCGCCTGACGACGGCGCATCTCCGTCGGGGTAGAAACGTGTGCACTTCGCCTCCTCGGCAAGGAGGTCTGAGCGGCGTCGCATAATACCATGGGGCAGCCTCTTGTGCAGGAGGTAGTGCTGCGTTTTGTGCGGTCCCCATCTCAGTGAAGTTGTAATTCACGAAAATATGAAGAGTTCAGCTGGAATTGCCGTGACTGCAGGTATATCTCGTTAGCATTGAATCCAGCTCACACCTAACCTCCAGTTTATCCCCGACCGTCTCGTACGACCACCTCTACGCGAATCAACACTTCGAAGGTTACGCTTGTGGAGCTTGGCGCACTGCGTCCCCTGGTGAGCATGATGGCGGTTGAGGCCGAGCCACGCCACTACGCCGGGCTTGCACTCCTCAAGCTGGCCGACAACTTCGAGAACCACATCCGCATCGCGGAAGAGGGCGGCATCCAAGCCCTCCTCAGGCTCGGCCGCGCGCGATCCACGGACGAGGAGCTGCAATACAAGGCCGCGCTGACAGTGGGCCATCTGGCATCCAACGCGGTAAAGCTGCTACCCAAGGGCAAGGAGAAGGCAAACATCGGGTTCGGAGCAACCGTGCTGCAGAGCAACACCGACAGCAAGGCGCGGCGAGCACAGAAGCAGACGCAAGAACATTTGGAGCAGTCATTGCGAGCTGGATAGTATTGTAGAGTGTAGCCGACGAGAGAACGTTGAAGGCGGTTTTGAGTGTGGTTGGGGGGAGGGAATGGGAATGGTTGTTTGTCGCTTCGCTTGTCCGAGATGTTGAGTCTTCCATATTTGGCTAACCCGTAGGAACATCCACAGCCGCTGTATCGTGACTAGTTGTTGGGTCATCTGAGGAGGGGACTGCTGAGTTGGCGTTCATCCCATCTACTCTGGCGCCCGTCTACACACCATCCGACGCGTAAGCTTGACGGATTAGCCGGGGGACTGGGGGAAACGAAAATGGGAACGGGCAATCAGTGCATGCCGACCATCGCAGTGATCGGCAGGAGACACTTAGCGATCAACGGTGACCGCAGGAGAGTCTGTCGATGTGAGGGAGCGAACGAGAATAACACCGCAGGAAGTCTGAATCCCCGGAACTGCGGCCGGCATCAGCAAGAGACCTCATGACACGAGAATCTCAGGTACCGCACAAACACACAAAGACGGGGCACGTAGAAAAGTGGAGAAGATATCCTCGCTGCACCAATCGATTTGCACCCGCCTGGGAGGTTTTGCTTGGTACTCACTGCGCGACAAAGGAACACGCCCAATCCACGGAGGCGCATTTCGTCGTTGCGCTTGTTTGCAAAAAATCGCGACCCCGCAAGCAGCTGGACACACCGCGGCATTTCCCCTCTTTCCCTGGTTTCGGGCAGGCAAACAAATGCTCCATAACTTTGTGCTGAATTGATGCTCAAGCTCCTCGCCGGCCTATTTCTGTACAAAGCCCTCTTGTTTTCAAATTGAGATTTTCTTGGCGCACTACGTTCCACATTCAGCGAGGGACCACCACAAACACAAACAAGGATTCCGAGGGTTGTTGCGCCTCCAAAGCGCGCTAAACGGCCTCCAAAGTAAATCACTCGACGGGCACACCTCCCGAATGTACAAAAAAAATAGATGAGAACAAAACAAAAGCCCATACGCCAGCAAGTGACCTCCGCAAGACGCTACAAGATGCTGCGCTTTCGACCAACGCCAGCGGTGACGCAACCACATCAATCAAAAGCAGGAACACCAACACCTTCCTGAGCGTCAGATCACGGTCGGGAGATAAAAACAGATACAAACTAATACAAAAAAATCTGGCTATGCATACATCTAGAGTCTCTCCAAAATCACCGATTCCTGCTTCGAGGTGAGCCCTGCTTCGTGCAACGTCGTGCCCGCCGATGCATCATCTCTTGTCAAAACCCTCCTCGGGAACGGCATGACCAGCCTGTACTGACCCGGGACGCCGCCTTGGGCTTCACAAAAATCTAACAACACCCCCAAGGCGTCTGCGAAACGGAAGCGCCTCGTGAACTTCCCCTCGGTAGTCCTTAGCTGGCAGGTGAACACGCCTTCCTCGTCTCTAGGCGGCTCCTCCGGGAGTTGCTGGAACTTGGCCAGGCGGTGCTTCTCGAGGTCGAAGGCGCCTTTCTTCGGGCCTCCGGGTGTCGATCGCTCGTCATCGGAGTCGAGGTCTGAATCGTCATCGCTCTCGCTGTCATCCATCGGGGAAAGCCCGGTTGTGCTGGTGTCCCTGCCACCTGCCGCTACTGATGAACCCTTGCCCCCCACGGCATATCCTCTTCCAGATGGGGGCGGGGACAAGCTCTGCGTCGGGGAAGAGCCACGGGATGAGATCGTGGCGGCGCCCATGTGCGCGCGCAAGGTCTTCGCTCGGTCTTGCGCACCCTTTTCCTGGAGCTGTTCTCTCGCCTTTTCCGGCAAGTCTAGCTCTATCTCCATGTCGGTGTCGATCACGGTTACCTGAGGCTCAGGGCGCAGCTCAACCACCTGCATTGTTAGTGGCGGTTCGCGTTCGGGGGTGAGTGGGGAATGGGAGTCTTCACTCTTTTATCACTACCAAGCGCCTACAGAGTGAGAGCGAGAGGTAAATATCGTCTGCGCCGTCAGTTGCGAAGCATTGAATTTCCGCCGGTTTTACAGAGTTTTTGTCACGACCCTACCCCCCGGAAAAACAAAAAAAGTACGTATTCAGTGTTGACGAGATCTCTGCATGCGGGTGTGATTGGATTGCAGCTAGTAGGGTCCATGTTTCACCAAGCCTCGGAACATCACAACTGTTTCGTTCAGGCCGTGCGCCAAAATGTTTAGTCAACATACAACGGTAGCACGCCGTGCGCGCAAGTTGCACGTGTGTCGCGTGATCGGACACAACGCTGCCGACATGTCTAGACCCAGAATGAAGACTTCAACGCATGCCATAGGGGGAAATCGAGGCGAAACGCAGCGACGCATTCCGGAACGAAACACCCCTGTCACTCAAACCAGAACATTCAAATCACAGCCCACTTTCGGACGGCACCTCCTGCAGTAGCGCAAATAACCATCTGGATGCTCGGCAGCGTCCGTAACCAAACATGAAACACCCCGCCATCAAATTGATGCTGATTTCCCGGCACTTGTTCTGTACCCTCGAGAGACGGTTCACTCTACGCCGGTCATACTTCTCACCTTCAGGCTGAACTCCTTTCCTCGTCTCCACACGCTCAAGTGATCCCCAACCGTCAACGTCGCGTGGTTGCGCATGTTATGCTCCAACATCGCTCTCAGCTCCGATACCTGGGACAGCCCCACCGTCTCCGGCACCACCCTCGCGAAAGTGGCCTTCGCGAGGCGGACATACCTCACCACCACGTTCTCGAGCCCTTCCACCGCCGGCCTCTCAGCCTTCGCATTTTCTGGGTCGTCGTTCGCACTGATGTTTTCGTCGCTCGTGCGGGACGGCACCTGGTGTGCGGCAGCCCCCAAAAGGCTGAGCACCACTTTCCGAGGAAGTCCGATGGTGCCCTCGTCGGCGACGAATTCCAACACCCCGGCGTGCGTCGTTCGGGTTGTTGTAATCGTGCCGCCTTGCAATGCCGGGGCCTTTTCCGGCTGCTGTTGAGAGGTGGGAGCGGCACCGGAGGTGGTGCACGTGAGTTCGAACAGCATGGGTCCAAGGCCAACCGCGTCCTGCCTGGAAAGACATTCTAGGGCGGATGGTGGCAGGAGAATCTTGTCCCCCTCGCCATCCGCTGTGACCGCCAGGAGAGACTCCTTGTAGCTGATGCCGGCAGTTCGGATTTGATCCGCCTCTTCCTGCTTCCTCGCCTGTTGGGTTACACGGCAAACGATATTGGTTACGAACAACCCCAACCAGAAAAGGCAACAGGAAAATAACAAACCCCGAACACTACGGTGTGTTGTTCCGCTTCATTCCGTCGGAACCAAGCCGAGGCTCTAAAATGCTTCCCTCTTCGGGCGACGAGCGGGCCCATGCTTCGGCGTACGTACAGGTGATTTGATCCAGGAATCAAAAATGTCTGCGAGTTCTTGAATGTTGAAATCATCTCGGGCATTCGTAAGCGGCAAAGAAAACCTTGTCCTTTGGCATTCGGGACAGCACCGTCTTTGTTGTAAAAGCTTGTTTGGATTGCCTAACTCGAACACTCTGTAGTCGATAAAGAAAGCGCTCCAACGGCCGTTGAACACTGTACTCGCTATGTGTAGCTCACCACCGATTTGGTGTTTCGAAGCAGGCCACAACAGCAACGGCTTAAGCTATCCCCCCTAGCTGTGTGTGTGCTGTCTCTAAAGGGGCGACTGATGGAGACTGTGAGGCCAAAGGAGGCTCGGAAATCGAGCTGGTGAGGGTCAACACGCTGTATCTAAAGACCTACATCTATCGCTGCTGGAGATGGCTGTTTGCCTTGTGACCGGTTTCGTTCTTCGGTGACCCGTCCCCACACTCAAGCAGCCGCAATGACAAGCGATGCCTCCGGAGCTGTGCGCATGGCGCCACTCGCGTGATGCTAGTAGTTGACAAAAGACCGTTAGGCGATAAGATGCTGGGAAACTGAAGTTGCGAGGGTCGAGAGCATATGAAAAAAGGCCTACCGCCGGCGCGTCCACCTGCAGCGTCACTTGGTGTCACCGGGTTGTTTTGTTGGTGACCCCTCGCCACCAGCTGAAGCAATGGCAAAAATGACAGAGCTACCCGAGGTGTGTGCATGGTGCGTCTTGTGCGGTGGCTGATTGAGGGTTGGGGCGATAGGAGGCTCGGCAATAATAGATTCTGCGAACGTCGAGCGGATGCCAAAGAAACACCACCGCTGCTGCTTCGACTCTTTTGGCCCGTTTGACAAACACGTCGGGTTGGTTTCCTCCCGGTCGGGCCGGATGAAAGAAGCAACGGCGGCCAGCCGATGTGCCAGCCGATGTTATCCACTCTGAGCACCGCACAACTTGCGTGGCTATCGATAGGGGTTGCAGGGACCAATCGCCCAGCGAGTACAGAGTGCCAGCGGAACCTCTCATTGCGGGATATGGGAGAGTCGGCGGATTGAACATATGTGGCCAACACGTTTCAGGACACATGTTGTCTCAAGTTCCAAAAGTATTGCCCAAGAGTTGATGATCCGAAACAAGCCTTGTTGGGCAGCATAGCACGTGCGTGTGATTTTCCGTCGTTTACAACTGAACTGGCCTAAAACCTCAACCTCAACAACTTGTTGAAAAAAAAAAGCCAAGTTCATAAAAGTGGTAAATCGGTACACTTCAGAAAGTGCATGTTCTGCAGGTCGGGTGTGCGGCCAGCGCCGTCCAAGACCAAGACCGGGCGGGAAATGGAGATGCCCGCAACTGCTTGCTGTCGGTGAAGTGCGAGCATTCCTAGGCGTGTCCGGCTACCTTGGAAGTTCGTCCCGGAGATCACTAGTAATCGCGCGTAAGGCTTCAGTTTGTGCGATTCCCCACGGTAAGCGGTGGTAGCGCTGTCGCTTCGAACTGAACGCCTTGTCGCGTAGCAGGTCCGTGATGGGTGCAGTGAGAACGCTGATCTCCGCGAAATTCCAAGGTAGCCGGACAGGCCTAGGAATGCTCGTACTTCACCGACAGCAGTCGCGGACACCTACTTACAATTTGTGTGGTTCCTTCGAGAACCTCCGTTCGTCTCATTCTAGAACATGTACAGAGTTTTATGAATTTGTGCGCTTACGTGTGAACGTGTGAAACATAGACTGAGCTGCACAGATGCACACCAATCCCTTCATGTACAACGGCCTGATTAAAACACGCTACCGCTGTAGACCACCGCACGACCTTCTCTCTCAGAGCACCTGTTGTGTTTGGGGTGCTTAGCATCACTGGGGTGGCGGTACCGCTCTACAACATCGCTGTTTCAGCGTATAAGTCAAACCCGAAACGACCCACCTCTTCCTCCTTCCGTCGCTGCTCGAGCTTTCTCGCCCTAATCTGCTCCTCGATTCTCGCCTGATCCTTCGCGGCCGCTTCCTTACTCCGCCTTTCTCTCTGAATTCTCAGCCTCGCGGCATCTCGACGTTTCTGTTGCTCTTTCTTGAGCTTGTTGCCTCTGTCAACGTTGACGGTCGGAGGGTATAACGCAGACTTCGATACTCTTGAAAGGTACAGAAAGACGACGCATCTTATGAATACGGAGGGGGTGCTCTGAGAATGGAGGCAAGCGTCCGATCGGTGCCAGTGGAATTCAACAGACCAGGACAGAAACTACACGGCGATACCGCCGTAGCACTGACTGGGACAACACCTGATGCGGCTTCTCGTGCCCGGGGCGGGGCGAAACAGCAGTCAGGGCGAAGGCAACTTTGTGGGACTCTCATTGCGCCAACAAGCTCACTTACCTTGAATCCAGGTTGAGAAAGTCCGCCATCACTCTCTTCGGCGCTGGGCAATATTCGCGATGCCTTTCTGTAAGGTATGGGCAGCGTCACTGGGAGAGATGACGAGATGAGGCTTCTCCAGAACGATGGCGATGGCGGCAGTGGAGGGGGTACGCGTTTGGCCAAGTGCGGGGGGTGCTCAGACGAAAAGACAACCAACGCGCCGCGCGGAACTCCATGTAAACTCCCCGCCCCGGTCCCGAACTGCAACAACAGCAGCCACCGACCGTAGCAGAGCAGTGCACAGCAGTGGAGCAGTGAGCGACATGGGCAAAGGACGAAGGGGAAGCGGCGTAACGCTAGCTAGTAGTCCGCATCGGCTGGAGCAACACGAGGCTGAGGGAGGATGGCGTGGCAGGATCAGAGTGTTATCGTCGTCAACGCTTGGAGCGGCGGCCACCAAGGAAGACGGTGTGTCGTTGTTGTGTGGTGGCTTTGAGTCCTACCGTGTGCTGATGGGTGTGCATCGCTCTGCATGTTTTCGTCTGTGCTTATGCAAGTGGTTGTAGTCATGATGGATAATATTATGTCACCGATGTTTCGGGCGACCATCTTGACACTCGCATTACCACCGCGCCTATGCGTTGTGGCTCAACATTTTTGGCTTCAGGGTTGGTGCTGAGGAACACCGGGAGCTGTAGTAGCTGTTGAACGGCCTGCTCAATGGACAGGACGCTGCTTTTGTATTGCACGATACGGCATTGACTGCAACAGAAATACTACCGTGCACTCGACTCTGTGCTTTTGCGGCACAACCCACACGGAAAACCATCCCATCCCCCCGCACCTAAATATGCCGTCCTTATCCTTGCCGAACGACAACAAAGGTGGGCGAATAGTAGCCCTGACGGAGGAGGACTTCCGCAAGAGTGGCTTCCGGTCGAGAGAGCTCGTCGCCGTCCTGGCTGGCCCGAGCAGACTTATTTCGGGGCGTATCTGTTGTCTCCCGTCGGCCGCGCTGCGTCCGGGTGGCGTCGGCCTGAGCTCCGCCTCGGCCCAAAGCCTGCTCGGTTGCGACACCGAAGATGCAGCGGGAGCAGGAGGGGAAGGCGCCCGAGTGCGGGTCCGCCGTTTGTCCGACACGTCCGCTACGATAGTAACGGCCAGCTCGTTGGATCTTGTCTTGGAGGCCGGCGTTGGGTTGCCAGGCGGGCGGAGTGGGGGCGGGGGGCGTCCGGTGGCGCAGCAGGGGTCGCTGTCGACGACATCGCCCCGTGTGTACCTACAGAGGCTGGCGGCGGGTAGAATGGCGCTGCTGCAACGGGCGGCGGGGTATTGTGCCTACGGGACTCACGCGCGGGAGGGTGACATGCTGTCGGTGTCGTTCGAAGGCGTACCCCACCTCTTTCGGGTGGCGACACTTGAACCGCCCATTCCTAGCCGTCAGCATACAGCAGCAGTAGCGACCGCAGCAGCCAAAGTGAAAGCGTCAGAGGCTGACGATGTCACTGGCGCCTCTCTCGTGGCGCCGTTGGCGGCCCTTTCAGTATCCGAGCCGCGCGTTGCAGAGTCAACGCCCGGGAAAACGGCGACGGTGGCGCCGCCGCCGCCTCCTGTCGCAGCGCCAGCCGATCATGGGCAAGTCGGTACGGCAACAGGAGTGCCAGCAGTACTAACGGACAGTGCCAACGGAAGCAGCGCGGAGCCACGAAGAGAGGACAGCCCGACGGCGGTGGCGCGTGTGCGCTTGGAGGCGTTCTACCGGGAGCACAACCCGGACAAGCTCGTAGGCGGCGACATCGACGGCATTCTCGAAAAGTATGCCGGGCGCGAAGAAACCCTCTTCGCCAAGCTAGAAAAGAAGTACGGCGCCGGATCATCTCTGCTGCGAACGACGACGGCGGGCGGGAACACCGGGACGGAGAGACAGCAGCAACAGCAGCAGCAGGCGCAATCGGTTACGATGCCGGGGACTCCTGCTGGATCTGGCTCCTTCTCCACTGGTTCAGGACAACAATCCTCGCCGGCAAACGTTCTTGGAAGACGGATCGCAGGAGGACCGCACCCTTCAGGAACCCCGTCAGCGCTGCGCCAACGGTTTGAAAACCGTGACGGCAGCGGTGGGCGTAGGGGCGATGAACCTACCGGAATTCGATCGTGGGGTGCTGGCGAGACGCTCTGGTTCGTCGCCGCGGACACGTCGATTCGGCTTTCGGCCGCCGACGTTCGTTCGCCGGAAGACGATGATGGCGGGACAAGGTTGCAGACAACTGCAGACCCCTCCGGCACGAAACGCGCGCTTGGTGGTGGCGGATGTTCTCAACAAAGAGGGGCGGGAGGCGGCACACCACGCGACGGCGATTGGGGATCCGTGGGGGGGCTCTCGTCCCAGATCCAGCAGCTCAGGGAGGCCATCGAGTTGCCCCTGACATCCCCAGACATTCTACGGAAATACGGAGTTCGCCCTCCTCGAGGCGTTCTGCTTCATGGACCGCCGGGGACTGGGAAGACCACGCTAGCTAGGGCGGCGGCGAAGGCGTGCGGGTGCCATGTTATCGTCGTCAACGGCTCGGAGCTGATGTCAAGGTGGGTGGGGGCGATAGCGCTGTTGACGAGAAAGACACAGAAAGTTGACGTGAGGATGGAGGGCTTTATGCCGTTGGACCTGCGTATTGTCTGGTACACATGGGTGGACGACCTCGAGCTCGGGGTGGTACCATGTGTTCATCTGTTGTTAGCTTGTGGTTGTGATGCTTGTCGTCGCTGCGTTGCCGGTTCGCTACCATGTTTTCAGCGCATCCCACCTCTACATGCAGGTCGCCTCTTCACTCGTTTCTGCACGGGAACGAGTGATCACATTTCACCTGACAGCCTCGCTCTTGCTGCTCTTGTACTTCCGCTGCCACAATGTCGACCAACGGCGATTACCGCACCCGCGATAAAACGGCAGGTTTGTGGGCGAAAGCGAGGGCGCGCTTCGCCAGAGGTTCGCGGAGGCCTCGCGTTGCGCGCCGTGCCTGATCGTGTTCGACGAGATAGACACGCTTTGCCCCCGGCGGGACCAGGCCAGCAGCGAGGCGCAGCGCAGGGTGGTCTCCACCATGCTGGCTCTGATGGACGGGGTGGACGCTCAAGAACAGGTGTGTGGTTTAGGGTGCTGGCTGCAAAAAACAGAGGCCGGATGGGTGATAGATTGTGGTACATGCTGCCGCACCCCAACAATCGGTCCTTTTGGGAGCAGGTCTTTGCGGTTCCAAGCCTCTCGAAGCGCTTTGGCTCGAAGCCGCCCACATCAAACGTTGTGCAAGTTGCTGTTGCAGAACTTGTTGGCCGCGCTCAGTTGTGAGATGCCCGGCATGAACCGGTCGTCAACCAAGGTGGTTGGCCGAATTCATTTTGGCTCGTACATACTGACGACAGTTCGTTCGCTGCCCATCCGCCCGACGTCGCGAGGTGGTGGTGATTGCGTGCACGAACAGGCCTCAAGCGCTTGATCCCGCCCTGCGAAGGCCCGGTCGCTTGGACAGGTTAGTGCAGCTACAGTATTTACCGAGGTGCTGTACGTGACCCTTACTATTGCCCTCAGAGGACTCTGCTGGCCGCTCGAAATGAGCAGGCCTAGCCAGCGTGCAATTGTCACGAAAAAAAAAGTGCATCAGGCACCTGCCCCCGAAGAGCATAGACAACATTTGGCACTGCTGTCTTGAAACATGTCAACCGACTGCCTGTATTCAACCGAGCAAGTTCTGCCCCGCGTATTTGCCCTTCCGTCTGGGTGTACTCCTCCGCTGCAGCACATATCTCGTTCTGATTTCCGCTCGCGCCGTGCACGCCGATGTGACGCTCGGCACATCTTTTTTTTTATTCGCCAGCGAGGTAGAGATCGGCGTCCCTGATGCAGCTGGCCGGGCCGAGATCCTCGAAGTCTTGCTGCGCGGGGTCCCCCACACCATGGCGGACGCGAACAACTCTCCGGGCGGCGAAGGCGGAAGAGGCGAGGCCAACAGCAAGAGCGGCCCAAGCGGAGAGGTGAAAGAGCTCGCCGCTCGCACGCACGGCTTCGTGGGCGCGGACTTGCAGCTCTTGGTGAAGGAAGCGGCTCTGCAGGCGCTTCGGAGGACTCGGGGCGGCGGTAATTGGGGAAGTATTTCTGCGAGGGCTGGCTGTAGTGACGCCGGCGTCGAGGAGGGGGAGAGTACGAGCGCGGAGGGACTGCCAACCCTGACGGCCGCGGATTTTCGGGCGGCGTTGCCGTTGGTGGCTCCAAGTGGGCTGAGGGAGGTAGCGGTGGAGGTCCCGAGCGTTAAGTGGGGGGACATCGGGGGCATGGAGGGCGTCAAGCAGAGCTTGAGGGAGGTGAGTGCGAGTTTCGAGGGAGTCGAGAGGTGCCCTCGAGGCTGGAGTTGACAGCCGAGAGAACTGAAGGGTGGCGGGGCGCTTCGTGCCGTTGCCCTGCCTCTGTATTTCTCGTCGTTGGCGTGTCGTAACAAAAGTGATTACAAGCACTCAACTAGGCAAAGAAAAAGATATTCACCCCGAATCCTCCGATACTACAATACGAGACTGACTCACCAAGACATGGCTGCAAGAGCAACTGAAAAACACACACTCGGTGTTTGAATCTCATCGTTGGTAAACGGCCCCGTACAGGTGGTGGAATGGCCACTCAGGCACCCGGAGGCGTTCTTGAGGATGGGCATGTCGCCGCCTCGAGGCGTGCTGCTGTACGGCCCCCCAGGCTGCAGCAAGACGCTCATGGCAAGGGCGCTGGCGACGGAATCTGGCATGAATTTCCTCGCCGTGAAGGGTGAGTCCGCACGCCTTGAGATGAGCCTTCCTGTGGAACGTAGCCTCGCGCGAATGACCTTGCGTGCTGCTGTTGTCAGGGTCCGTCTATTTTTTGCCAGTTACGCTATCGATACTGAATGTGCGTCTGTTCCAAACAGCAAGCAGTTTGGGTCTACATAGCCGGAGAACGACCTAAGGTGTACTGCCTGCCCCACGCTTTGGCTGGGTGTTGCTGCATCACAGGTCCTGAGCTGCTGAGCAAATGGCTGGGTGAGTCAGAGCGAGCCATGCAAGCTCTCTTCAAGAGGGCCCGAGCGGCCGCGCCAACGATTATTTTTTTCGACGAAGTGGACGCTCTCGCTTGCAAGCGAGGAGGCGGCGGGGAAACAGGAGCTGGCGCTACGGAACGCGTGCTGACGCAGGTATTCACGAACAGAGTTCCCCACGTGTTTAGTATGTCTGCTGAAAGCTCACGCGACGGGATCACCTGAGACGAGACATGTCGCCTATCGACTATACGGAAGAAGGGGGATTCACAACACACGCATTGGAACGAGCGAGAATGGTACACGTGGGGACTCGTTTTCGGCAGGATATTGCGTGTCAATCTCCGAGCACACTTCAGCGGAACGAGCGAGAATGGCACACGTGGGGACCCGTTTTCGGCAGGATATTGCGTGTCAATCTCCGAGCACACTTCAGCGATTAGTGGTGGCATGCCTTCCGCTGCTTCCCCTCGCCCGCCATCATTGCTAGGTTGAGCCTGGCCCGACGAACACCGGCCACGTTACCTCTCAGCCCTGCCCAACATCCAGACACAAGCGCTTGTAAATTCGATCGTACATCCACGTTTTTCATCAGTACCGAGAAACAGGAGCAGCATACGTAGGTCATACCTACGCTCACTACATATATATCGACAAAATCCGACAACATCCCCCCCCCCCTTGAACAGGAAGAGTCATCCATCCCTACATATCACCCTCTGATCTCTTCTATCCCCCCGCGCCCTTGTCCAGCTGCTGACGGAGCTCGACGGAATCCAACCGGTGAAGCGCCTGGTCGTTGTGGCGGCAACCAACCGCCCGGACGTGATCGACCCGGCGCTGCTGCGCCCCGGGCGGTTGGACCGCCTAGTGTACGTGCCCCCGCCGGACGTGTTGTCCCGTCGGGAGATCCTGCGGCTGTCTCTGGCCAAGGTGCCCTGCGCGGGCGACGTGGAGCACGAGGCGCTAGCGCGACGAACGGAGGGATTTTCGGGCGCCGAGGTGGGTCGGGTTGGCCTTGAGCTTTTTTTTTGCGGGGGTATTGTTTTTGTGCTTTGGACTGCGCTGGTATGTAGGTGTTTGCGTATTCGCGATAGGGGCAGCTTTGTGCCTTTCCCTGCCTAGGGCTTCGTATGTATGCCCTGTTAAAGACGGGCGACAGGTTACACTGCCGGACTGCTGGCTGTCTTGTTTTTCGTTGTGGGTTTGGTTTTGCGCCCGCCGCACAACCAGCATCTAACACCAGCATGCGGATCGAGGCTTGCCCCGCCCTCTCTTATTCACATGCTTATCGTGCAGAAATCAAGGGGTTCGCTTTCGACAACATTGCCCCCCCCCCCCCCCCCCCGCTCCCCCGTACGCCCTCTCAATCGGAACGCTCCTGTGGGTGTTTTCGTGTTTTCGATGCTGCCCTCCATCCAGGTAGTGGCTCTTTGCCGAGAAGCATCCATCTGTGCGCTCGAAGAAGACAGATCAGCTACGCAAGTCCGCCAAGCGCACCTCCTCGAGGCTTTGGGGCAGATGCGACCGCAGATCACGCCCGCGGTTCTGGCCTCGTATGCCTCGTTTCAGAGGGGGGTGCGATGATGAGCAGGAGAAGAGAGATAGGAGTGGCGTTGAAGTGCAAGTTTAGATGCATCGACAGCATCAGGATAGGGTCAGTGTTGGGTTGGTTAAGCGTGGTTTGGACAATCAACGACGTGGTGCCGGGATACCTTGGTGTTCCTGGAGTTTCGGCGAACAAGGGGGCCAGTCTTCTGCCGGGAAAGGCCGAAGCAGCATATTCCTGCGTGTGCGCGTCTTCTACTTTGCAGGCCTCTTCCCTGTTCCCCTGTCTGTGGAGTATTGGGTATTTGCACGTTGTCCCTATTGAGTGTTCAAGTTATTGAAGAGGTACTTAGCTACCGCGGCGCAGCTTGTTGTTACACTGCTCGTGCCGAAGTTTTTCGACGGCGCACGTGTCGGCTACGGTGTTTGTTGTTGCTGGGTTGAGTGTGGCAACCTTATCGACGGCGGTCTCGGCGGTGCACTGAACGAGTAGACTACAGCAGTAGGTGTGAAACTATGCCGCCACGCTCCAGAGCGAGCAAAGTTCATCTTGGCCGTTGTCGCACCTTACACATGAAGTGCCCTCCATAGTACCTAGCCTCACGATTTGGCTCACGGTCCAGACGTCCAGACTTGTTACATACGGTATGTCGTAGAGCTCTTCAAGGAGCAAAACATGGACACCCGATCCTTTGGCAGCAAGTGTGGAAGCCAGATATGGAGATTCAGGAAGCACAGACACACGTACAGAAAGAGTAGGATCTGAGGGACCTGTGACAATAGATCACTGTTCTTCCCAAGGGCCCATGACTCTTGCGATTCCCAACAGCTGCGAATGTATTTTGCATTCTTGGATACTACCGGTGTTTACCGCCCTCCTGTGTCACCCTGAATGGTAGTAGTTGAACAAAAAAATGCACTGAAAAGAAAAAGTGTAGTACTCTACATACACTGAAAGGTGCAGTACACGTCTCACCACGAAAAGGGGAGGGGCTGTCGCAGTAGTAAGTTGGACGAAACAAGATACAGCAAACAACTGTTCGTGCCTAACACGTCGCGTTGTTACGTAGCCGCACAAGAATCGGTTGAGTGCGACGTTCTCCCTGGAATCGGAAGTGCCGGACGCAATGATTCTCCGAGAAACCTGGGTAGCGGTTCTTCACCTCCCTCTCTGGACTTTGGGCGATGTACGTCGCAACCCCCACCTCTCGTCTCCTTCCATCACATACCATAGCTCGAAATCGCTTCTTCTGCCTTTCTTTCCGGTCCGGCCCGCCCTTCGTACATACCCTCCCCTCTATTCACCAGTAAATCCTCATCATTCTCGCTAGTGTCGCCGACCGCTCATATCCAGTACTCAGGCGTTGCCTTGTTCTTTCATGAACCCACTCCCGAGGGATCACTCACTTGATGTGTAGTCTACTATTTAGTAGCAGTAGTAACCAAGCGTGGAGGATGTGCCCTCGACTACTGACTGTATGTACAAGTACTATTCATGACAAATAACTGCAGCAGTTAGCAGAGTTGAAGCGCAGGCCATCAACAAAACTGAGAAGGGATCAGGTAGACTGAGGCTGCTGCGCGGAGAGGATAACAGTCCAAGTTGAGGATCGAAATATTTTTGCAGCAGATAGTGCCCCGTGGCAGCAAAGTTATGCTACAAAGATGTGGGGATGGATGTCCATTATAATTTAGATATTTAGCATGTAAATTTACGTCCCAAGCGGATCTTTGCCGTGTGTCCGTTTCTTCCACCGGATCTTGACATCTTGACGGTCCCGTGTTTTTTTTTTTTATTGTTCTGGGTTTCCTTCCCACTTCCTACCAGTATTAATTAGCTGCAGGTCTGCAGGTGCGGCAGTTGCACGTCGTCACCGTCTTGCGGCGTCACCTCTGCCATCTGCTTGTGCTCCACTCACCCTCACTCCTCAGACGACAATCACAATCCTGTGTTGAGTACATCTTCCCTGCCAATTGCCCTACCAAGGTGCTGCAGATACTGGCTTTTGCTGCTGTGCTGCAGATACTGGCTTTTGCTGCTGCAGCATGGAGCGCGATAAAAGTGGCGACGATGCCCTCGGCGGTTCGAGCCACTGCAGCATCGCGTCGACCGTCAGCGACGGAATGATCGATCGCCGAGAACCTCACAGGCAGAGGTTCGAAGACGACGACAGCAGCAGCAGCAGCAGCATCTCTAGCGACGAGGAAGCCCGCCACGACCAGAGAGCCGACTTGGCCCGGATGACCTCGAGGAGGAGCTTGGTCGTTGTGGATGGGGCTGCCGCCGGGCATCATCGCCCGAGGTCTTCTTCCGGAACTGCTGCTTCCGCTGCTGCCGCCCAAAGGGTTCAAAATGCCAACACGGCAGGACAACACCGGCCTCGAAGGTCGTCCATGACAGAGACGAGCGAGGTGGCCCCAGCTGACGAGCAACGGCAATCCAACCAGGTGTGTGGTGGGCTCTAGCGATCAAGGTTTTGCTTACAGCCGAGACACGGGGGGGTAAGGGTTGGCGTACAGAGTAGGCTGTCAACGAATCTTTGTGTCCGTTGATTTTCTTCCAACGGCGATCTTTTGGGCCATGCGTCGGATCTGACGATGAATCGCGGCGACGTGGGACCAAGAAGGCACCAAACGTGCACTTAGGCCTCGCACCTGGCACGTGATCACCACCTGTCACGCCTTTTTCCCGTCTGGCTTGCACGTAGCCGGGTTTTATGGCTCCAGTTTCAAGTGTCCAGCGGATTCAATTACACGGACGCGTGGTTGCCGTCGCACCTATTTTGACCGCCGTGGGTATGCGATGTTTCATCGAGCAAGGACCTCAAGGTGCATACGGAGACCCACGAAGCACGCCCTCCCCGCCAGGGGATTTTGCTGCTGCTGTAGAAGGGGCGAGGGCAGCGGACACATCAAGCTGGAAGTAACACAGCCAGCAGCTGTGCTGGCCAGAGACACCCCACCCACCCTCTCAAGATTGCGCATGTAAATTAGTCCACAGCGGTCCCCAGACAGAAAGATCCTGTACAATATAGGTCAGATGGTCAGTCAAAAGGTCCAATGTATTGTCCACTTGTCCACACTTCCGACCTGCAATTTGGTACACTTTTCTCGGTGATGGGGGGTTGTTCCGAAAACCAAAAGCACAGGCAAACCCCGTCTCCAGGCGTGTTTTCCTACGGAAAGTGTTTTGTATTCCTGCTGTCTTGTGTATTTTTCTCCGACCACAACCGGATTATTACACCTCTCGGAATATCCCCCCGGATGGAATTTTTTCCTACATTGATTTGAACAAATTACAAATTACAACAAATATTGCAGTTGTGTGGCGCCGATGAACTGGAGTAGTAACGAATTGTGCGTATTATGGCACCCATCGTTGATTTCGCACCCATCGGTGTTATGGCACCGGGGTCAAAAATATTAAAATATTGAGAACGGCATGGTTTTTTAGCATTTCCGCAGCGGTATCGGTGTTGCCGCACCCGGTGCGATTTCACCGATAAAAAACCTGCTTACAATATTATACCGTAGTAGTAAATTTGCCGTAAGGTGTCGGTACCCTCCGGGTCACGTTGTGGAACTGTATGTAACGAACGTCTGAGATTCCGGTAGGTACCAATTGGGGCTCCATTATTTTCATGTATGTATATCGTACCGTCGAGGTATGCGCGTAGAAATGATTATCCGCACATGGAATGCACTCAATCACCCAACCAAGTACACAGCACACATCCCGCACCTCCAACCTACCGAACAAGAAGGAGTTCGTACACGGTACATTTGTACCGGTACCAACCCCCTTGAGGCAGACAAAGACAGAGGGAAGCACCAGCCAACAAATGAGGGGCTTGCGACCAACGAAGAGGTTGGAAGAAGAACGATACCTACCGTACCGTCTACCTTTCCCAGCAGGGAACCACAGCGTCTGTTTGTTGTCTTTGGCCACGCTATCCCAAACTCGCATCATCCACTTCATTTGAAGTACCGCATCACGCGCAATTACGGTACTTGTACCAGAAACGCCTTTGTTCGTTTCTTGAGTATCGCACCTACCGGTGTCATCGAACCGGGGTGCGTTCACTCAGCACCGTAAAAATGGCCAGTGTGACCTCTTCCATATCTCGCACCCATCGGTGTCATCGCACCTGGGGTGGGTGCGTTGGAAATCTAGAGCGAAATGATTTACAAGTAATTGCATTTCCGCACCGTTATCGGTGCGATGGCACCGGCGTGCGATAAAAAACCAAGTAGCAATGAATTAAAAGACGATCGCACCCCGGTGCCATAACACCCATAATTACGGGATAGGAGGTTTGCTGATGTTTTGGATTTTCAAATTGATAGTAGATCTTTTGGACTAACAACGTTTTCTGATTGGCCGGGCGTTGTTTGGCGTTGGTTCTTAACCGCCGATTGTTATCGCGAAAAATCAAAATCGAGATATTTGTCCTGGACTGGCCATGCGGTCGTAGATGGTGCGGTACATATTCGTTGGCCCGGTATCCTCTTTGAGAAACGCAGGTGAAATCGCTCGACACACGTTCAGCACATAAAATAGTGTCGGTGGCTCTGAAAAACAGTGCCCGCTGCTGGTCGGACAAAACTGACGCTACCAATCAATGCTGGCCTGCGACCGCTGCGTTGTGGATCGATCAAAACAACACAAATACGCCATGATATTACCGCGCGAGCCGGGGGACAGACCCTTCTGCCAGGGGTCGACCGCCCTTCACGTGAGTGCGCGAGTCTCGCGTCGTTGCTGGCGCCTCGGGTACCCCCGGTCAATTTCTAGACGAGGGACCTCGGTTCTCCTTGTTGTGGAGGGTGAGCCTCTCGTCATCGCCATCAACGGTACTATTTACTGCGTTAGGACGTAACTGGGCCTAAAAGCGCCAAAGTAGCTAGCTTCTTGGAAGTAGCTTGTTGACGCTGCAAGCTTTCGAAGGCTTGTCGATGGCAGTCCTCTCGAATCCTATCATATGCATTGTGTGCATGTGGGAAATATCCCCCCGACTCTGTCGTGTACAACCCAGTCTCAAGAGTGCGGGAAAGCGAGGTACACTCCTTACGCAAGACAGGCCTTATTAGAACAGGCCCTCTGTGACTGGTACGAACAGCAGGGCAAACGCGCCCCTCGACGGAGATTATCCTCCACGCAGCCTGGGAGAGAGGCCTCAGCAAGCATATGTACATGTACGATGTACAAAAGTTGTTCCGGTGAAACCGCGCCACAGAGCCAAGTAGAGCAGGCAAGGATTTGGCGCGTACATATTTTGCCTACACAGGTGGATACAAAATTCGATGTGCCTTCGAGTGATTTTTTTATTCAGCGGAACCGACGACCTACAGCCTAGTACCACCACCTTCCTAATGCATGGTACCGACCAAGCTCCGAAATATTTTTGTATTGGCATTTGCTTGGGGGTTCCGCAGGGCCGGCAGCCGGTGGTTAAGGTGAAGGATGGGGTGGAAACCCGCGGCATGTCTGTCGGGTGCCTACGCCACCTTCAAGAGAACAACAAATACACGCTGCAAGTTTTGTCACACAGTTTTCGGATTGGTAAAAAAATCCTTTTCCCCTTTCTCTACTCCATCTTTTCCCTTCTCTCTGCCACATTTTAATTTCTCTCTGGGCCACACGCCCCCACCGAACGACCACCCCCCTCCCCCCCCCCCCCCCCACTAAGTTGTACAAAATCGTACAAGCAAAGGTATGTTGTGGGATTACACTCGTAGCGATCCCTGAAGACCCTGATG